AGAAACTATACCTGAACGGACAAGATTAGGTCTACTCCCCTATCAGGGTGTCTCTTGCATACATCGTGAATGGAAGCGGCCATACTAATGCAGATATGTCTCTCTGAAATAAAGTCTATAAATCCTTTTGGGTGTAACACTTCCTGAATATTTAAAATAATTGGTACCATAGACGTACATAAAAGTAAGCATGAGCAAGCTGACTTTATCAATGTCGAACAAAATTTCATATTGGTAAGAATAGCTTACTAGCAGACTCGAAAAGGCACGGTCGTTGACTACCCAGGTCTGGCAAAGCAATCTAATGGCTGTAGCATACAACAGACTAAAATAAACCATCATCAGAGCTACTCATGTCAACTCCATTTTATGGCAGTCAGAAACGGAAACAAGGTAGAGGACAGAAACCCAATTCAATAAGTTTGGTAAATGTAGGTTAAAGCATGAAACATCGCATACTAATCTTTTGGCTTCCAAATCAACCTTTTATTATATATCATAAGCCAGCATCTAAAGAGCTAATGGAAACACTTATAGCTGTTTGCAAAGACTACTCGTCTACCACACAGATAAAGTGAAAATCGAATGGAAGAACCCGGTAATGGTTTCAACCCAGAATTAACTATTACTTAACACGATTGAAAAATATGATACACAACAAAAAATCAAAAAGGGTGTACTGACCCTTTCGCATCCTTCTGTAGCATTGGAGTAATAGTCTGAACTACAAGTGGAATCATCACCTGTTGTGCAGCTAATGACGGAAGTAACCCCAGAAGTTTGGGCTGCACATCAAAGAAATCAATTGGGAATTAGTCTAAAGGAAAGATAAATAGAAGAGACCAGCACTTGGATTTGAAGATACATAAAATGACTGAGTAGCTCACCAATAGACTCTGACAAGGGACATTTGTTCGAGATAACAAGTTGCTGTAATATAGAACAGCTAGCAACAGCGGGACACTCATCGTAGGATCAATGCCACCAATAATATTCAAAGAATCAATACCATCAGCTCCTAGGGACGGATGCATCACCATGACACCAGCAACAGCACCAAGTAAAATAGGTATCTCTTGTGAAAGACAAAACGATGTAGATAACTTTTTTCTATCCCAAAACCGTTCAGTGTGTTCCCTAAGTAATGAATTCCAAGTCCCTAGTCCTGAATAAGTTTCCTGTTTTTCACTTCCATTGATGTAAGCCACTCTGAGGAAGGAGGACGTGGAAGGTGCGTAATCATTCTGAAAGAATAAAAGAACATTCAAGGACTCAGTGAGCAATTTGATTCTGAGTTTCTTTTGTGTAATACTTTGATATAGCGTTATGGACATAAATTAAAATTAAAATGTTTGATCTCCAACCCTCAAAGGAGTAATTATTTGAATAACCTAACCCATGAGTTGATCTATGTAACTCATTATAGAAAGATTCTGAAAGAAAATAGCAGGTTTCTCCACAGGAACTAAACCTGATGCCAGAATTGCTGCACGACCCTAAATACGACAGAGCCCACCCTGCTGAGTGGTGAATCTCCCTTCCTTGTGTAGACCTCAATCTTTGGTGCATTTAACATTGTTACCAAGACATTTTCTACGATGGAAAGAACCTTACTTGCTGCTACTTTGACTGATTTAGAGGGAGAAGACATCAGTGCGATGATAGGAAACAGTAATAGAGACTCCACACTTGAACAGCCTGCATCTTTCACCGACAAGTTTTCTACGAAAGGATTATGAATAATCAATTCTTAGTCCACAAAAAATACACATATATAAAAAAAGGATGAGGACACACCGTGGTTGAAGGGAGTAAATCAGCTACTACACTATCAGACAGCAGAAGGAGTAAGAGGGTAATGAAAAGAAAGATGGAGATGCAAATATACCGTTTTCAGTTTTCCATTTGAGCAGAGAAAGCAGGAACTTTAGAATAGAGAGTTGTTCATGCTCAACATTGGATTTGGCAAGCATGAAAACTAGCGAGATAACCACCAAGGATAAATCAGGTAAATATGGTAATCCAAGGTCTTTCTGAACAGCCAACAAGTGCTTCAAAGATTCGATAACAGGCTCTTGTTCGGTTGTTTGGACATGAGGAGAAGAGCAAAGTAAAAGTACGCCATCTACCAGTTGCACACCGAGAAGATGAACTTCTGTTACTTCCTGATATTATAAATAAATATATTTATATTGGACAACGAGCAAGAATTTTAAGATGAATGCATGATGAAATTAGCACATACCAATCCAGTTCCAACCAAGTCTCTCACAACCACAGTATAAGCATCCACTAGAGTCTTGACAATACAGCTGAAATTTCTATTGTCCTGAACAGTTTCAGAAATTTAGAACTGAATCCTAATATTGCACCATTATTTTCATTCACCAAAGCGACTGCTAATCATGTATACTTACTTCGAGGTTTTTCCCCGGGATATATTTTAAGCAACGCATAAGCAATCTGAATATCGGCAGTGCTTCGTGGCGGGATGAACAACAAAGAGAAGCCATCGATGAAATCAATTCCCTCGCAAACAACGAAGAGGACGAATCTGCAAGTGGAATCCGCAGTACAGCGAAATTCAAGAACGGCTCCAAGAATTCACATACTCCCACCATTCCAAGTCGCCGAGTATGCATCACAAAGAGTGATACTTGATGAAGAAGCTCCGTCTGTGTCTCCACTCGGCTAGAAAGAATCTGAAACCAAAAACAACAACAAGCATCAAAGGCTAGCTAATTACACAACAATTCCCATAGAACAACGAACGCATCCATGAAATCACATACCCTAACAAACGGATGATTCTCCGTCGAACTAAACTCCCAATTCCCATCTCTCTGTTCATAACCAATACGAATCAAAAACCCTAACCCTTTCACGAACAGCGAAACCAATTTCGTATCGCATCCTTCAAGAGCTGATTGAAGTTCCAATAAACCACGGGAGAGGTCGAGAACAGAGTCTGATACTAATCGACATAGCTCACGAACGGATTGATCAACGACGGTGACAGAATCGGAAGTGAGGCAGAAGGAGATAGCTTCTCTTCCAGCTTCCGATTCTGATCCTAATCGTTCCGGAGCAGATCTTAATTTGGAGAAGACGGAAATTACAGCGAATCTTTGTATGGAAGGTTGAGGTACGCGAGTTTTCTCCAGTAACGGAGCATACGAAGCCATCGCTTTGACCGGAGAGAGAGAAGACAACGGCTAGTTCGGAAGCGTGAACGGAGGGTTTTGGAATTTACAGCGACGGGATGAAGGAAGTCTGATTAGCCGGTTCTAAGTAATGGGCCGTCTCGATTTGGCCCAATAATTCTAATATCTCAATCAATTAAATTAACTAAAATAATGTAAAATTCTATAAATGACATCAAAAATATTTAAAAACAAAATATTTGATCATATTTTATTTTTAATAAATACAGGTTAATATTAAAAAATAAAAACATATTATCATATGGTATATCGTAGGTTAATTATTATCCAAATTTAGACATGTCAATATAAACAAAGCTAGCGGATGCTAGTATAAAATTTTCAATTAGAAAAAAATTTGATTTTACAAGACGGATTTCCATAAATCATTGCGGATTTCACATACTTTGAAAAAATAAATAGTGCATAGTTACATATTTATCTCATATATAGTATCAAAATCTTAGAATATTTTTCTAATATATATATATATAAAAATTAATTATTAACATTTAATTTTTTCTTAAAGAATATATGTATTTATGGTAAAAGTAATTTATAATTAATATTAATTATTATTTTTGCTCTAAATGTATTTTATAAATTACAAGGATGATACCGTTACAACAAATACGAAATTTTGATTTATTAAACTGTTGCAAGTCATGTATAGTCAAGCACAACAAATGCACAAAATCTAATACACCAGAATTGAAAATTTGTGTGTTTACATCTAATGGAAACATTCCAGAAGCTTATGACTTGATCTCACTTTTGCTGGACCCTGAACCTCATTCTCGGTAATACAATCTCCAATCTGTATTCAATTTTTACCTACAAGGTACGTGAACGCTCCATATGATAGCTTCATATATAACCTGAAACCATACAACTATGTTGATTATTGAATTGGTGAGACTTATTCAAAACAATCAGTCTCACATTTGTCGCGTGATAAAAAGGTATGCTCCTTCAACTCTAATAAGTTGTGTATATCAATGAATACTTACACTACGTTTTTTTTTAATTTGAATTCTCAACCATTATATTCAGACGGAGTTTACAAATACTTTGATGATGTGTTACTAATCTGTTTATGGAAGTATACAAGGCTGTTTATCCCAAGTAGAAGAAAACCACAAAGTTCAAAAAAGTCTTTAAAGAATTAAGTCAAGGTATGATAAAATATTGGTTGTCTCCAATGCAAAAGTTAATGACTTTCCATAAATCACTTAACCAAACATTTCCGATATTTCTTTATCTGAATCATCAGTTGCTGCAGCAATTTGTAACATTACTTCCTCGTAACTGTTTCTTAATACTTTGGAGAGAAGCCTAAAAAAAACAAAGTCTCACCATCATAAGTTTTAAATGATATGTGACAAGAAGAAAAATTAACAAAACTACGTACCTTTACAATAGCCTCCTTGTCTCCTTGATGCCAAGGCTTCAATGTCAGATAAATCTAGAGTTATCAAAATCTTTTTAATCCCTTCTCTAAACACATGGCATTATAAGATATTTCCACTGAAACCATATGCAATGTATTCAAGATTTGATCTTAAAGACTAAAGTGTTATCCTGTCTAAGGTACCATCTTCTTAGCTTCCCATTCTCACTCATATCTCTTCTTGTCATAATCCTGAAGAGCACAGATCCGGCAAACAATATCAAAATCATGATACTGAAAAGAATGTAAATGATCTGATCCATTTTTTTTCTCAATCTTTACTCTTTTTTAGAAGGAGGATATATATATCTGTAGCATTCTGCATCACTTTAGTGTCATGAGTCATGGACCCGTAAAAACATGTTTATTTCATTTATTATATATTTCACTAACAAGGGTTTTTTATTTTGGACAAGACAAAACGAACGTACACATGCATATTGACAAGATATTCTAAAAAGAAGAAAGAAAGAAACTGTGACATAAAAGGTAAAATTACATTATCTCTCGTCTTCCCAAAAGACTCATGCAAATTTATGTAATGGTCCTCCTTGCTTTACCAGGCTCATGGGTCTCAGTAGTGAGTTCAGTATCACGAGCCTCATGTGCCCTGTCTTGCACATACTGCCCCATCTCTTTTCCTTTCATACCAGCATAGCCTACCGCATCAGCCATACGTCTTTTAGCGTAGTCCAATTGCTCTGGCACTGTATCACTCCTCCCACGGAGGTAGTTTAGGACCCATGAGACCGAGCTCAGACCCGTCAGTCCAAACAATCCAGAGGCCAAGATTCCGGTCACAGCGAGGCCAATGGTGAGAGCCGCCGGGACAAGGACTGGACTAAAGAGGAGGAAGAGTGGAATGGAGACCAGCATGCCGATCACCGAGCCGGCTAGAGTGAGTCCAGCTAGAGTTAGCAGTGTGCCACCAACGGGAACTCCTGCTATAAGTGCCATGATCTGCATGTATGCATGCATGTATCACTTATATCGATCGAGTTTATTTAATAAGTGTCATTTATTTAGGAACCTTTTGCAAAAATTAATGTCAAAAACTCAAAAATATTATAAATCAAACCATAAGCCTCTCTAGATATTATCCTATTATATGCATGCATGCACAACCATGATCTATGAAACATGCAAGTGGCACCACGTACATACGTACACTTGTTATAAAATTGATTTCTATTATCGATCAATTTATATATGCATGGCATACTAATCTATTGATGTTTAATTTCGAAACTCGTCATGATTCTTCATACTTTAAATTTGCTTTTCTATTTTAGATTTTCTTAAAATCGTTAAATAGTTTTAAGTGAGCTAGTGATTAGTTTAGAGGAAAGAAAAATGAAAATCTAAAGGGAACACAATACTTGGTTAGTGGAGGGGCCGCGACTCTTATAATCAGAACCAGCACCATAACCACCATAACCACCGAAACCGACATCATCTTCGTAGGACGGCTGAAGATGAGCACGTTTGTCAGTACGGTCGACATGCCCACGCCTGTCACGGTCCACATTCGCCATATTGATCGATATGATCTTGTACTAAATAGCAAAGTAGTGTAATAGAACTAAAGAGAGATGTCTAAAGAGAATACAAAAGGGGTATAAGAGATAAGTCTAAAAGAACATATCATGTATATATAAATGGATTGTAATTTTTTTCTTTTTCTTTGTAGTAGTAGAAAAGAGATTTGAAGTGAAAGAGAAGAGGACACGTAAGAATGTGTTGAAGGGAGAGGTGTGGCTTTGCATGATTTCCAAGTTTCATTCTTTACCTGATCTTCTTTGCCTTCTTTTCTCCACCGTACATATTTAAACGATAACAAACAAAACATTCGATTTACACAATTGCTCTCCTCTTGACGCATCTAGATGCGCACTTGTGTGCCAAAAACATCTTTTCTCTTTATAAAGCTTTTTGTATAATTTTTTTGTGTTCAGTTTTAAGATAAATCGCATATCACATGCATATATATATATATATCCAAGATTGGAAACAAATACATTTAAAAAATACCTTTACAATTAAGCGTGATTTCATTAGCAAGTTCTTAAAACACTAACAAGAACATTATTATTATTTATTTGTTAAAAACAATTTGGATCACATACAAAAAGACCTACGTACAAGAGTCTCTCTTTAGTATACGATCATCTCTCAAACAAGAGATGTTGCTTTTTCTCTTTCACATTTTTTCTTTATTTTGTAGTATATTCTAATCATTAGATATCCTTTAAAAAAAACACCGATGAAAGTGGTCTTAGCTAGATGTGGTTCTCACAATTAGAGTAGGAAAAGAGAGAGAGAGAGAGAGAGAGAGAGTGATGATAAATTTTTAAATAAAAACCTTCAAAATAGTTGTAAGAATTTCATATAACACATGTCATTTAATTTATATAGTGGTTTAGTTTTCTTTTTAAAAGTAAAATTAAATTATATAACCAAACTAGATTTAATAATCATACTTTTTTGTTCAAAAATTTCATAGGGATTCTCCTCCATGGAGATGCTCTAATAACTATAGTAAGTAGCAAAACCCTTTTACTAGTTTTCTCTCCTAGCTTTACTTTGATGAAGTTTATGTTAGTAAACGATGAGGAAAAAATCAAATATGAATCAATTATCTAGGACTAGAGTTGAGTTGTAAATATCCATATCCAATATACGTACGATATTCGTATTTGTCCATTTCTACAAAAAAAAATTAACATTTTAGACAAATTTTTACTATATGTATATATACAAAAAAATAATTCTATAATAAAAACTTATTTGCTTATGTATTAATTAATTCGTTTTGTAACATTTTAGCTTAACTTCTTTGAACCATTATTGGATCGTCGCATCTCTTTACTATAACTCTTAAATCTGTATCTTTTGACTTACAAAAGTTCTTACATCATTAAAAATCTTCTGAATATTGTCTTTTTATTCATAAGGTCTTTTTAACTTTTAACAATTGTTTATAAGATTTTTATATAACCTACTAGTAGTAATAACAACCAACATGATTTATTTATTTTTCAGTTTAAGAAAAAGAAAAGGTAGACAACCAATATTGGTGGTCTTTTAGAACAATCTTATATATGGATTAGCTCTTATTTAAGAGACAAAGTCTTAAGGATTGACTTTTATTTAACGCTGTTAAGTATGTCACGAACTGTGTTTCAACAAATTAAAGTATATATACTTTTTGTAGTTGTTGTCAATATATATACGTTTATGTTTCTTTGTATACCAAAGACCATGACGGGCTGATCGCTTTTGTATAGCACGAGCGCACACGAGTGTGGTGGCTTTATAGTAGGACTCTTTTTTCTTACAGAGTGTCTAATCAAAGAAAGAAGAAATACAAGTAATCGAATCAATCAATTCCGACAGTAGAAAACGACGTCGTCCATGGAACAAGGCTTTTTCATTTGTTTCTGTTATTGGACCTTTCTATTTTGATTAGAAGCTATTGGACGGTTTAGTGCTGTTCCACTGTTTCTTGATAACGAGAGGACAAACACAAACACACACTCTCTTTCTCTCACTTTCTCGTTGGTCTACAAAATGGCCCATTATTTACGTATTCTTTGTGTGCTCTTACACCTTTTTGTCGATGAGATTGATTTCAAACTTGGACTCAACCTGTGAAGAAGTTAAAGTCTATTGCTTAAAATCGCAAGTACTAAAACAGTAGGTTTCTATAGACGGGGACACTAGTACAATAGTTTCTCTAAATTATTATGTAGTCACAAGTCCAGTTCTTGAATATATAATAGAAAAGAAGTTTGATTGTAGGTAAAAAAGTGTGAATCGTTGCATAAAGATATGGAAATGCTTTGAAAGTATTATAGGGTTCGAATGGTTCGAACAAAATCGTCTATAATGATGATGCAAACACTTTTTATTTACTATTTAACAATTATGTTGCGGACGTAAAAAAAAAAATTCGTCGAACGACCACCTAAAAACCGTTTTTATACGTATAAATAAAATTGGTCTGAAGTAATTTATTGTCTGTCCAAAAATAAAATAGATTAAACCGCGAATGGATTTGTCTATCATAACCGTAGTAGCTATTCTTACCCGGTTACCCCTATATGATTGTATGTTCTTGTTTCATTTAACAACATGTATGCAGATTTGAAGTGTAAGCATAGTGACTCAAAAACATCACTAGCACAAACTAATAAACTTCGATCCATGTATGACTCACGAGTCACGACCATTGTTTAGGTATAGTATGATAAAAAGAGAAAAAGTAGTAAAGAGAGATTTAAGGGAGAATGATGAATGAGATGGAGGGAATAACGTAACGTAACTGAGGAAAAGTCTTCAGATGAGTACAATATGATTTGATATATCACATGGCAAAACAATCATATACTTGTGCAGTAGATAGTGATAGTGTTGATAAAGCTAAAAAATGTTATTTAAAAAAGATGAATGTACACCTTTAGTTACTGTTCGTGAAACTGACTCATGTCAGTCTGTCTGAACACAAATCTTGAATCCCTTTGTCTTGATCGTCGACATGTTAATAAACCCACGCATGGAAAGTCAAAATAAATACACATATGTACTGTATGTAGCATATGGCTATGTCCGATTAATATTGCATTCACATATATAAACATTTGAATAACATTACAAATTCGACTAGCTAGATCTGTTTTAAATAGCTCAAATGATTTCTTTTGAAGCTTTCGTCATTTGGCATAGATGTGTCATCTTGTCTTTCTTGGGGCAACTGAAAGACTTTTTGTAGCTCCATTGTAAGACCATCTCCAATGGTTGATAGGAGAAAAAAATTGGTATATATAGAAGTGGTAAAAATGGTAGCAGAAATAAATTGTTTGACATAAAATGGTAAAAATGATTGAATAATTTAGAAAGTTAGAAAATGATTGATAGGAGATAACAGTGTAAGTTTAGAAATAGTTTGTTTTTTTAAATTGATTATAAAATAACACTTTTAACTGTTGCTATTAACAAGTATCAATCAAAAAGTTTGTTTAAAATACTAGTAGACGCTAATCTCTATATTAGTAAAAGAGAAGTACAAAATAGAATGCGGGTCGGGTCAAAATTAAAAAATTAACCCGATTTTAATAATTGGATATTTCAAAATTGGATATTAAAATGGATTTGGATACATATATCGGATACTTTCCATATCTCATTTTAGGATTATATTATTTCCATAACTAATTTTAAGATTTCCTAATATTTCTCTAACTAATTTAATAGAATATATTAAAAACAATTATCATTCTTTTTCACTTTTATTTGATCTTATTTTTAATTTATAATATTATACTAAATATGAAAAATGTTTAAAATTTTTTTAACTTTTTTCGCATATGTTGCAATTTGAATTTTTCAAAACGGACATATAATAGTCAATTACACTCGGTTAAATATTTTGTACAATGATTTAAAATCATTATAAGTATGACCAATATTAAAATCATTGTTACATGAGCATATTTAAAATTTAAAAAAGTTTCAAAATATTTTAATTAAAAGGTTCAAATATAAAAAAAAATAGATTTAAAATAGTAAAACTATTGTTGTCAATACATAGATGTAAATTTGGAGACATAAGTTTTATTGATAAAATATTATATATCAAACTACGTAAATTTTAGATAGTTCACTGGTAGTTTGTTAAAATCACAATTATAATGGTAAAGCGAGTTGTGAATAATGTTTTTTACGATATGAATTATGTTACGGGTTGATCCTTCAAACAATATATTGTAGTATGTAATCTTTACGTCTATTCCTACTTCTACTACAAAAATGGTCAAATTGAATAATTTATCGATAAATATTATTTCGTGCTATTAAATTTTCACCCTTTTTTTAATTGTAGCAAAACTCAATATATTATTATTTACTCGCTTTTTCCTTTTATTATTTTATTCAAACTTATTTTTTGGTAATCTAATTTTATTTAAACTTATTATACAAATATATGATTCATTGTAATCGACTGCACTGTAATAAAATTAAAATATAATATATTTTCATCCGTTAAAAAAAAAAATTTTAGTAAAAGGTTAAATAAATTATTTTTAAAAATCCGTTAAAATTTATATATAAGTAATTATTTCCCCCGCGCTGTAGCGCGGGTCAAAACCTAGTTAGACAGTAAAACAAAAGACGGAACATCGAATCAATTAAATGATGATTACATTAAAATGAATTGAGAATTAATTTTATCAATATAGATATATGTATATTTTATAAAATTATGAAACAACTCAAAAATTATAATCTAATATAGTGGTATGCATTACACTTTCAGAAATCCCCTTAGATATCATATTTTAATATATTTTTTTCTAAAAATACCACAATTTGTTTTTATTTCAAAAGTACTACAAAAAGTTTAATTTTCCAAAAATACCATAAACATAAAAATCTGACTTTTGAAAGTGTAAAATGATTTGTTCATGTTTAGATTGACTATTTATATTTAGGGTATAGTTTTTAAGGATAGTGATTAGTGTTTAGGATTTTATAAATTAGTTTTGAATGTTAAAAATGTTAATTTAATTTTGTGGTGTTTTTTGGAAAAGTTTAGTGATAGTTTAGAAAATAAAACTCATAGTATATTTGAAAAATACTTATTTAGTGGTATTTAAAAGAATTTCTTAGAGCATATATTTTAACTTTATGTATTTAATGATTATCTTTTAAGTTCGAGTTTTATTGAGATTCACTTACCTCTTTCTTTACAAAATCAAGAAAATGGTAACCTAATTGTTTACTTAGTATGAGAACAAAGTTCACAGATACATGAATATCTAAACTTTTGGATTAACAAATTATTTGGGGTATCATACTCTATCTTATATGATTTTAATCATTGAAAAGAAGACTTTAGATTTTGTTTTCTTTTTCTTTTGACAAGATTAGTTGATTTTAATGAAAATAAAGATGTGGTTGTTAACTCGCCGCCAAATTACAAAATAAAAAAAGAACCGACTTTAAAAAGAGATTCCCTATGAAGACATGTGCCTAAACAATTTGATGTTTTTAGTAATTGATGTTTTAATTATTTAAACACTTTTTCAAGTCGACAAATGTATACAATCACTGAACTAACTTAGAATATTAGCAACTTTATTGTTTGTGACCAGTGACTAGTGTGTGTAATCAAACAACCAATTATTAGCCTACGTTCTTATATACATGATGAGTCTAACTGTCGACATGAAAAAATAGTTTTTTTAGTATCATACTAATTTCAATATTAATATTGCATCATTGGCATAATTAATTATATAACAATTTGTTAAAATTAGCTTTATAAAATGTTTGAAGATTGGTCATGATCAAGTGAATATGTGTACACACCCTTACCAAACTAAAGGTTGGTCGAAGTTAGCTAGCACAAGTGAGTATGTGTACATACCAGTTTGAAACATACATCTTTTAAGTATAGAAACTAAAAAAAACTTAGTGAATAATCAAGTCACATGCATGTGGATCAAGATCAAATTAAAGAGCAAGAGCTATTGCTTATTCAACATCAACAAAAATATTTCTTGACCTCCCAAGTTAAATTACACATACCCATAATTATATACATGCAAACAAATTAACATACGTACACATACATACATACATACATGCATGCCCCCATATATATAGACATATATACATACGAAGATATATATCCTCATCAGTCATCACTTCCATCACATCAAACACATCTCTCTTTATACTTCTCCGCCGCTAATTCTCTCAAAGAGTGATGATGATTTGATGACTAATACATCAACCACCGTCGTTGACCATTCAACCCCTGCGCCCACCATAGGCCGACGTCGTTTCACCACCAAGACAACTAGCATACCTCATGAGATCAGCATTTGTCTCCTCTAGTTCCCTTTGCAACCTCAAGACCTGTCTCTGGAGCACTGAGATCGCACCAACGCAGCCATACACTGGATCTTTAAGCCGCGCCTCGGCCTCGTAAGCAAGCGAGTTCACTGCGTCTTCCCGCTGATGTGGAGCCACTTCTTGAAGGATCTTGCTCACGTTACTTGCCCCGAATATCCGGTGGACGTTTGCAAACTTTGTAGGTTCCTCCGGTGGAAAATAGGGTGCGAATACGCAGTCTGATGTGCATTTCCGCCGGAGGAATTTGCATGCTGCACATGGCGAGTTTGTGTAGTTGGACATTTTTGTTATTGTACGTCCCCTGATTTTTTTCAGTTGCAAAAATGAAACAAAACTATTTCGTCACATATACATATCATCATATTAGGAATCTTCTAAATTATAAGATCGATATTGTATCAAGAGTCTATTCTTGTATATACATCAATATATTTTTCAACAATATGTCTACGTACGCAATATAAAATTTATACATTTTCAAAACTTTTGTTTTCTATTTTGTGCTGGTAACTAGTTAGATTTGAGTATTTGACTCATCATCAATACAAGACTTATGTACGATGTTCTTAGTCATTTTTCAACAAAATTCGTTATTCTTCGTAAGATATAATGGTAACTAGAAATAATAGTCTCATCATCAATATAACTAGTTACGAGACGACGTACGTATGATGTTCCTATCTTCTCATCCTTAAATTTCATTATTCGTAATGTTCTTACGACATTATAAAGATAGAGATGTATCTAAACTATATATCAAACAAATATAAGCATAAATCCAAGACACTCCTTTCTAACCAAGTAATTCTACATATTATAAGATCGGGAGTATGGACAGTACTAGCTGAGACTAATCTATAATACTGATATATAATACATATATGTATATATACATGTATATCACAATATGTGAAATCTAACACACAATATGAAGTTATGAGAACTTGGGAAGTTATATAAAAAAATAAGCGTCCATTTATCCTCCGAAAGAATGTGAAGAAAATGGATGTGTTTCTATTTAAATGTGAATTGAAGGTAGCTGATCAAACTGGTTGTGCATTATATAGAATTGTTTGGCTTTAAACAAGAAAACAACTTAACATTCATTTCAAATGTGAAATTTTGCATAAGAATTTGTAATTATGAAGGTAGTATATGTACATATATTTCGTATAATATATATACACTACTAGACCCTATATTTCAACAACATGCCTTTATTTATATGCCATTAAATTTAGTAAAGAAAAACCAATGAAAATTCGGAAAATATTTCTTGGAAAATGTTGAATAATATTTTTCTTTAAACTCGAAGAAAGGAAGAAATCAATCACTATTGACCATACATTTTTGTTCTTGGCGTTTAGTTTAGCAAATTTTCTGATTTTATCCTCACAGCACTCTCTGTCTCTCTGACTCTGAGCCTCAGGTATCAGCATCTATATATATACAACAAGAATATAGCTTTAAATCTCGAATCTATGACCGATTTAAATAGCTTTGTTACATCTTTAAGCGTCTGTTTTAGTATGCTTACATTCACTATATTTATAAGAAGCCACAAAATCTAAATTCACGTTCAATTTTTTTTGAAGTAGATAAAGTTTTTCCAATATTGTATCTTAGAAGTTCATCAGTGACACCATATCTTCACGATCCAAACTTTCTTAAGTTTATATAACCAAACAACATAAAACTAAACGTGTGTGTGTGTGTGTGTGTGAATTAATTAGCTTTGTAGAATGGAATACTCTTGGTCTTACCTTAAATATGGAGCAACAAGAAAAGGTCCCTAGCTCTTCTTGGTATCTTCTTGAAAAGGTATGATCTTCTTTGTTACTCTCTTGGGTATATATTAATTATTAGAAGGGGAAATGAAAAATCTCAAAGAAGATTTGCAATTATTGAGAAAAAATTTTGTTGTATTCAGGGAGGAAACCCTAGTTGGAGAGAAAGAGGAGTCTCTCTAAGGGGAAAGTTAGAAAGATAAAGAGGAAGAAACATTGGTTAGAGAGAGAGAGAAGCAAAAGGCATTTTTGGTGGTGTGAGAAAGAGAAAGAAAGATATGAATATAATGAGATTGCAAAAAGACAAATTGGCCTCAATTAATTGAGTTCCTAAAATAGTGAATTAAAATTAAAAAATTATCCAGTTGAACAAAAAAAAAAAGGAGTATCTCTGACCGTGGCAAATTTTACTCCATTCAATTGCTTTCAGTAAATAATATTGTCTTTTATTTTATTATGTAAGTAAATAATATATGAGAAAATAAAATAAAATGGCAAAAATCAAGTGATAGTAAGCCAAAATATAATTCCAATGTTTCAAAATATGGTGGGCTCCGTTTCTGAGAAAAAAATATATTATTCTGAAATTTATTCTTGCTTTTACAAAGAATAATTTTAATTAATTATTGTTAACAATTTTCAAAGTTCAAAAATTAATTATTGAGAATATTTTAAGTTATGAATATTTTATTTATAATGAAATAATTTTGTGATTTTTTTAATAATTAGTATTCATTATTTTTATTTTGTACATAAAATCCTAAACATCGATATTTTAGAGACAGAGGAAATATATTTTTCAAGGTGTTCCGAATCAAATTTGAATAGCCCTTTGGAACCATTTTATTAATCTAAATTAGTAAGCTAATTATCTAACAAATGAGGAAACATAATGTTAATTCTTTTGATAATGTGATGCTAACAAGAACTTGAATAGCTCTTCAACCGATGTAGATTCATCACCTTCATGTACAATTTTTAATTTTACATTTTGACCTTTCACAGTTTATTATTGGACTGTAAGAAAATACTGTTTGTGAAGTCTTAATTTGGTCCACTTCTTAAAATATTGTCTTTAATTAAATTTTCTGAAGGTTTTGGGATACAAACTTACAAAGACATCAGAAGTCAGAACTATTGAGGATCTGAGCAAATCCGACATGTTATACTGTCGTTTTGCTTGATTGAATTTAACTGTTAACATATAACCCCTCTTGATTTTACTGTTTAACTTTCAGAAAAATAATTATTAAATTTTACATTTTTTATTAATTAAATTATTTGCTGTGTTAATTCAAAATTTTAGTACAGTCTAATTGTTGAGCCACATGCTTAAATCTAAATAAATTTCTATAGTGCATATAAAACAAAATAAATTTCTGGAAAGAAAAAAAATTGAAACAGTTTGCATATTATTATATAGTACTGAATTTATGTTTTAATTTGTGTTATTGAGTTTAATAATTAACATTATAGAGAAAAGAGTTTTTTCTAATATTAGAAAGAAAAAAAGAAGAGTATTGTTTGTTCGATAACTCTTTTATAATGTTGATATTTTGTATTTCATACGTTATATTGTTGTATTTGGATTATGGAATTTTTATTCATATAACTAAATGTGCCAATAGGTATGCATAATCTTTCTCAGCTAGACAACTTCAATCATTTAAACAAAATTAAAACTTAAAAGATGCATACCAGACAAAGTAGTTGATACTTGATAATATCAATATTTAATCCAAATGCTTTAACCCAATGCATTATTGTTATCATAAACATGTATACGCTTCAAAGTGCAATATTTGGTATAGCATGTGCGTAGATTTATACCAATGATTAGTGATGATAGTCAATCATTGGCAAGCATTACTTTACGTATTTTCTATAACGATACTTTACGTATTTCCTGATTAGATTTCATACAGATATGCATATATGATTTATATATATAGAAGAAAGAGAGTATACAAATAATATGAAATTGAAAAGAAAAAAAAAGTGAAGAAAATATGAAAAGAAATTGCCCAATTCAGATTGAAAAAAAAAGAAGCACTTGAATACGCATGCATACAAAATTACAAATATCCCTATACATAAAAATTGGATCATGTAATATACAATAATAAGCTAATTAATGTGGGTCAATATAATTATTGTGTGCACTAATTAATTATGTAATCCATTTAAAAAGAAATTTATGTATATATGCATGCACCTAGCTAGAGGTCCTAAATACTTAGAAGTCGGTATGCTTTTTATTTATTTATATTTTTCTCTTATTTAAGCAAGAGAATGATGTTGGTGCATAATCTGGTAAGTTATATGTATAAGAAAATGTAACTAAATGATTAAAATGTTAGTATATACGAATGATGAGAAATATAATCTTCAAACTATACTTTGACTTTCTTAAAACGAAAACTTCTTCTAATACAAATTTTGAAACGAGTTTTGACTATATATATAGCTTAAAATCATAGAGAACATATTTTCGTAGTATTTATAACAAAACTAATGGGAATGAAATATTTTATAATATATAAATATGATCGATTAAAGATTTTCGTACTGCATTCTTTTAACCGGCATGAGAATATATACGTTGCTTCTTAAAAAAAAACGATCGACTAAATATCAAATGAGTCCTATCTTATTATATAAACTTTAGTTTTCAAAGTTAGCCATTAAAAAGATCGTGACATGTGTCAATTATAAACGATAAGATGTTGACATGTATCGATTCTAATTTTGTTGATATTTAGATAAAATAGAAATATTATTAACCCTATCGAAAAAGGAAATATATAAAATAAATATTATAATGAATTATATATTAAAAAAAATTAATAAAATTAAACAAATAACTTAATTTCAGTTATGTCGATTTGGTTTATTAATAAGATAGGGATTTAAAATTTATAATTAACAAGAATTTATGTCGATTTTACCTTGGATTTCAAAGTCAGTCATTAACAAGATCGTGACATGTGTCAATTATAAACGATTAGATGTTGACACGTGTCGATTCTAATTTTGTTAATATTTAGATAAAATAGAAATATCAATAACCCTATCGAAAAAGGAAATATATAAAATAAATATTCTAAAGAATTATATATTAAAAAATATTAATAAAATTCAACAAATAACCTAATTTCAGCTATGTCAATTTGGTTTATTAATAAGATAGAGATTTAAAATTTATAATTAACAAGAATATATGTCGGTTTTTATTTACATAAGAGGATTAAGGTTTAAACTTTAAGTTTACAATTAAAACATGTTACTTATTGGTTTGGGTATATAAATGATAAATGAGAGTTATAGTTTATCTTTGTAAATTAAATTATGGTTTAATTTTAACAATTAAACGAGATTATATGACGAAACTTGGTTTTTAAATTTATTAACTCACGTGATAATGATAAGTGTCAAGTAAAACAGAAGATGTCGCAACATGTTATATCTAATTTTATTAATATTAAGATCAAAATAGAATTTTTAAACAACATTAAAAAAACAAAATATTTAAAATAATTATAAAAAATTAAAGAGAATTTTTGAGAAATACCCCTTTTAGTGTACCCCTTTCCAAAAATACCCTTTATCTATCCATTTTCAAAAATATTCCTGTTTAAATATGAAAAATTATAAAGTTTTATATGGTTCATAAGGTAGTTTTATATAATAACTACTACTTGGAAATTTGATACAGATATTTTATAATGTTTTAAAAGGTCTTAAATCGTTTTTACAAGTTTTATAAGGTTTTTAAAAGGGTTTATAAGGTTTTTAAAAGGTATTTATAAGTTATTTTATGCTATTTATGAAAGATGTATAAAAGTTATATATATATATATAAAGGTAATTTGTGTGTATATTTATCAAGTTTACACACATATTTGGATAAATTTCAACATTTTTAGTGGTTTTTTAATAAAGTTTGAAATAAGGGTATTTTTAAAAAGTGGTACTGGAAAAAGGGTATTTTTGATAAATTAAAAAGTAAAAAAAAATGATATTTATCAAAAACAAATATGTGTAAGCTTATATATATAGACACAAATTATCTTTATATGTGTGTAAATTTATATCTATATTTCATAAATACCTTTTAAAAACCTTTTAAAAATTATTTAAAAAATATATAAAAACTTTGAAAACCTTATAAAAACCTTATAAAAATCTTATAATACCTTATAAAAAGGAGATTTCAAATAAAGAAAAAATACAATACGTTAATCTTATAAAATATTTTCATTATCGTGAATATTATGTAATATTTAAATATTTTTATTCACTAAGTTAATCTAAATAAGTTAGTCATTAATTTGACATGTGTCAATTGTATCGGTAAGATATTGACATGTGTAAATTTAAGATATATTAAAATATATTAAAATTAAATTTATAAACCTATCATAAAAACAATTCTACATAAGTAATACATATAAAAGTATACCTAATTATAATGGATTGTAAATTTCATTGTCTAAAACATAACCTTATATTTCTTCAGAAAATTTTAACAGCTTTTAATATATTTTTGATAAACCTATATTTTTGTTATCAAATATTATTTAAAATATATTAAAATTTAATGAAACATTTTTCTTTTTGAGAAAATATAATTTAAGTATATATTTGCGATATCTTATTATATAAACCTTGTTTTTCAGAGTTAGTCATTAACAAGATCGTGACACGTGTTAACTGAATTAATAAGATGCTGACATGTGTCAGATAATTAGTGGCAACCTTGGTTTTCAAAGTTAGCTATTAACAAGATCGTGACACGTATTAACTGAATTAATAAGATTTTGACATGTGTTAGAAATAGTGGTAATAAATTATATAATTTAGTTTAAATATTTTCAAAATTGAAAAAGAAAATAAAAATTCAGGAAATTTAACAATTACTTAGTAGTAATCCTAAAATAAAATTGATAGTATTTATAAAATAAAATTATTAATAAAAAATTATAAAAACTAGGTCTAAGGAATTAAAAAATAACAAAAAAAAAATACAATAATTTAGTCAACTATAAGTTATTCTTAGAAAATATTCGCATTATCGTGAATATTATGTAATAACTATTTGAATAGCAGATTATTTAATAAATAACGTCAGAATAAAATGGCCAATTTGTCATCTACCAAATAAAAAAAAGTGAAAAATATAGCATATTGATTGAAAAAATAAGAAAAATAGGATTAGGGGCATGAAAAATTACCTTTGGTGTTGTGATGTTTTAGTGATAATGGTGGGTGGTGGCTACATGTGGCTGAAAGTGGTGGCACTGGTCGGAGACGGTGGTGTCACAAATGGTGGTGGCGATGGCCGAAGACGGTAGTGGTGGCGATGGCCGGAGACATCAGCGGTGGCGGTGGCCGGAGACGGCAGTGGTGGCAGTGGCCGGAGATAGCAGCAGTGGCAGTGGCCAAAGACGACGGTGGTGGCAGTGGCTGTTGGTGGCCGGAGGTTGTGGCTGCTGGTCACCGGAGGCATTGGTATTCGATAGCCGGAGGTTGTGGCTGCTGGTCACCGGAGGCATTGGTAGTCGATAGCCGGAGGTTGTGGCTGCTGGTGGCCGGAGGCGGCGGTGGTTTGTGGCTGGATGTTGAGCGGCCGGTGGCTGGAGGTGGTGGTGGTAGGAATGTGATGATAAGTCAGAACACCAGACCCTAAAGATAATAAATTCTCAACCCAAACTTTTAATCATGTAATGTGGTTAAACATGTCAATAATACATATATTACAATGAATATAAAATTTTAGTGGTTAGAGTAGTCACTCGCTTAATTATAGTTCTTTTGAATGTTAAATCTACTAAAATCTCAATTAAAAATTTCATTAAAAATAATTATAAATAAACAATGCAAAAACACTAAAAATATAAAAAATAAGGATTCATAAAAAAAAGTGAAATGGGTAACAATACATAAATTAGAAAATAACCAAAACCCGTGCAACGCACGGGTCCATATCTAGTATATATATATCAGTTGCGACTACGTATTAATTTATATCTAAAGTTAGTATAAACCTTTAAACCAAAGATACGTATGATTTAGTAATCATAGGTTAGGACTTTGTGGAATTGGTTGTTGAAAATATGTATAATACGGAAAAAAATGTTTAATAGCATTATTGCAAGTCAAGTGTTTAGTATGGCCACAAACAATCATTACATATACACAATTATTTGATCAAAACTTATTCTAATAATAATGCAACTATTCTCTTCCTTTCTTATTTTTAATTTTGTTAAACACCTTTTTCATTTTATTACATTATTAGTCGATTGCCCGCGCTACGCGCGAGAGTTTTATTACGTTGTTTATGAGTAATTGATTTGTATTTTATTTCATACTTATTTTCTCCAATATAGCATACATTTATTTTCTAACTCCTGTTGTGTTTGTATAAAAAAATCTATTTTAATTTAGTTTTGATAGCAGTTGAGAAATTAAGTGTGTATAGTATAAATCAATGTGTAGGCGTAAACGGAAGTGTTATGGAGAATTGTAAGAAAAATGTGTTATTAAGACTTCCACCAAATATAGATCTATATGATGTTAATATTGTGGATCCTTTTAAAATGTTGGCCCGAAACTTGAGAATGATTTGTGGATTTTGTGCGGATTGTTGTATTTTTTATTTATTGATTTGGCAATCTGTTGTTTATTATCTATTTATTTTGGTTTTTAATGTTTTTGTTTGTTATTTTTATTTGTTATATTATCTTTTTATATATTTTCATATACTTTTTTAGGTTTTTATTGAATTTGACGTAATTTATGTATCGTTATGATCACTTATATACTATTATATATACGTTTAGATTTCTCGTTTTATATATTTTCCGTATTTTCATATAAAATAACTTTAAAATTTAACATATTGTATTAGTATAATCTATTTTTCAATACTCAATTTTGGATTAAAAGCATTTGATTCAATTTATGAAATATCAAATTTGTTTTTTTCTTTATGATCATGTTATAAACTAATATTTCACTTTCAATTTTATTTTTCATGTTCAAAATTTTATAAATACATTACATAAATTTTTGTTTATTCTACCATGAATTTAAAATTTACTTCCATTCTAAAATCCAGTAACACATTAAAAAATTTAACCTATGATCATTTGAAAATTAAAGTTAAATTATATTATTACCACTAATAAAAATTTATGATATTGTTTTTCTTGTTTTAAAATTTTATTATTTTATATAATTCATTTTTTATCTATATAAACTTTCTACTAATTGTAACTTATAAGTAACATAAATATGGACTAAATGCATAATTTAAATTTATTTTAGTGTAAAAATAAAAATATTGCTTAGGTGGATGCTTAGGTGGCATCATGAGAAGAGAGAAAAACTAACTTTATATATATAGATGCATATTAGCATATACATACGTCGAACCCATTAGATACGACTAGTTTTAGTGGTCTCTAATCTTATTTTCACTAAACTTTTTCTTCCATTTGTCTCTTTATAAATTATTTGTGTACCCTTTGACAAAATTATAAATAAGCCATTTTAGAAAACAGCAATGGACAAAATAAAAATTTATTTGTTTATCTTCTAACATGTTTGGATAACCATGACATAATAAAGTCCAAATTATTATATGGATTTTTCAATGTTACTTGTTCATTTTTTTTTTTTGTTAAAACGTCATATTGGAAATTTTACGTCCACATAAGAAAACGTCTACATTGTACATAGATAGAAAAATCACTGCTTCGTTACGGTTAAATGAATTATCGAAATTGGAACGATGGAAATATATTAATTTTGTTTTATTGCCATTTGCTTATTTTATTTTTATTTTTTTGTCATTTATGATTTACCTAATTTCTCTAATCTAATCGTAATTGAGTTTGATGAGCTCATATGTGAACTCTCTTAGACCATCTCCAAAGGGAGCTCCTTTAAAAAAAAATTAAGGGTTCATAAGATTAATATCATTAAAAATAAATCAAAAACAGTTTTATTTTTTAGTAGCGATCCTAATTGTAGGAATTTAGAGAGCGGTGCCTAAGCCAAATGTATCAATTTTATTGGGTAGGACCTGTAGCGAAGAGAAAAGAAAAAAAAGTTCTCGGTTTCTCTCTCTCTTTGTCATGATATTCTTTTTTTCTTTTTTCTTTTTCCCCTAAAATTTTTTTTTAGCACTCCAAAATAAACACTTTCCTTTGGAGATGCTCTTATATACTAGTAGTAGTAATAGGATTGTGAAGCTTTATTGAAGGGATGGAAAATTACTAGTATTTGGAACCATCTTAACTAAACCATTAGCCCGAGAAGGTTGCGGATGATGTGTTCTATCATCTTGATTCTTGAGGGACTGATGTGTGCTACCTTGATTCTTGAGAGACTGTGATGCATAAATGAAGGATAAAGTTATATTTAAGTTATGTTATGCAAGTCGATGGACATTAAAGATGGAATTGAAAAGGCTACTTAGGTAAGGAAATGATATTGGCACTATCATACACACATGTTGCTCTTGGTGAGAAAGATATGTATGAGAAGGGTGCAATGTCTATGTTGAGTTTGAGGATGAGAAGGTGGTAACAAAGAAGACATATGATGACAACAAATTCAAATCAGAGCATTAACAATTGGTAAAACATATTTTAACACTTTCTGATATACTTGATGCAAAACTTTCAGATGTCAATCTGATTCTAAGGCTTACAATTTCTGTACAATAGACTTCGGAAAAGAGTATTAAAGGAGAGACTAAGGTTAGGGACTGACAAGAAAATAATCTCTAATGGTTCGCCTTTTGACTGAGGAAGGAGGGTTTAGTACAGAGGATGGACTGTTGAATGTGGTTTCTGGTGTTCTCTCGCATATTACATCTTCTCCTTCTTCTGATGATGGTGATGATAATGATAATGATGATGATAATGATAATGATGATGATAATGATGTTTTCTTCTTCTGAGACTCTGGAGTTCCGATGATAGGCATTGACTGATTATTAATATAATCATCTGATGATGATGATGATAATGGTGAATGCTTTTGGGGACTCTCAGCTTCTCTGTTCATCTCAAGTATTTCTTTGGCTTCACTATTTGACAATGCGGTTACTCTGCGTTTGACTCTAGACGGAGACGCTGATGAGTTTGCGTCTGAACAGCGGTTGTTCTCTATGTTCCACAATCGTACCTGATTATGAACATACATGAAGTCAGTAAAAGGCAAAGAGAATACACTAATCTTTTGCTTGTAATCAACATATATGTGAAATGTTTTGTTATCGACTTACTGTGAAATCATCTGAAGCTGTTGCAACTTTCCCAATCTCTGATGGAGACCTGCACAATAGATTTGGCACCAGTTCAGTTATTAGCTAGTTGGAAGCAGTGATTTAAGAATTAAGAGTGAAGTTTCTTTGTCATCGTTTATTATTGTTGAATGGTTAAAAAATAGAAGAGGGTTGGTGAAGTGGATTTACCAATCTACTGCAGTAACTTCAAAGTCGTGGCCTTTTAAGAGTGTAGGATCTACGTGAGGCTTGTTGACCTAAAATTTGTAATGTTAGTCAAATAAGTCTTGATCCATTGATTTATTAGAGGATGTCAAATTGAGTGGCAAAGGATTCAAACCTGCCATATGTAAGCGTTTCCATCACTTGAACCACTCAAAATATATTCACCATCAGGACTAATCATTGTCTGCAGAGCAATATTGAGATGGTGAGCAGATGAAAAATGTTGTAAAAGCAAATCAATTGTGTGATTGAAGGGAATATTGTGAACTAAGGTATTAGTATTACCCTTACGAAGAAAGAATCTATTCGGCAGCCAGAAAAAGATTGTACAGGCCCTTTGTCAAGCTGCCGCGTGTTGTATAGATAGATTCTGTAACAGATTGTTGAAATAGAGAGAAAATATCAAGTTAAAACTGGACTGTTTGACGAGGAATATCTCACTTAGAAAAGTTAGTGTCTTAAAAATCAAACCTATTGTCCTTGCATGAAGCTGTGAGAAGGGTTCCACTTGAGTCCTGTGACAAGGATACTATACCATGTGATCTGTTTTCCTGAACAAATTAAAAAAACCAGGATAAATATTAGCCTGATTCATCCCTTCAGTCAGATTGAGGGTTAAGCTATTCACTTCAAACCCATTCAGAACATATATGCGACTGAAAAGGCAGTTTAGCCTACCTTAGTGTTTGTTGGGTCTGACTGTGGAGATGCTTGAGCAATAGGAACTTTCAGCTTCCTTGTATCCCAAAATTTCAAGGCACTAAAAGAATAGCAGGGAAAAAAAAACCCAAAGAATGTAAAGAATAATTCTATATGCTTTAAAGGGTAACACTACCTTTATATGAACCCAATAGATGTTGTGCAAGTACCTGTCAGGTGCTCCAGCAGTGGCAATTGTGATCTCGTCCTTGAGATAAAGCACAGAGGTAATGCTTGACGAAGCAGCCTGAAAACATGAAGCCATAAGCAGAGAAGACAGGAGAAAATAGATAAAATGGGAAGGATTCACAAATGAGCAAGAGTAAAACCTTGCGACGTCTGATTCTCTTTGAAAGAGGGGATAGATGAGCTCCTTTAACCATGTCAGTAGAGCTGTATGAAGACCAAAACAACTATCAAGATGGTTTTAAAGAAGAAACCAAAAAACAAAAAAGATCTTCACAGCTAAGTTTATAGGACTTACTTGATACAGAGTTCCTCTTTGTATGAACTACTTTTACATCTTAAATCCCATAGCGCAAAACATCCATCTCTTGAACCAGATACAAGAAGATCTACAAGCAGCAAGAGCCAAGAGTCAGAGTCGTCTTGACCAAATATATCAATTAGTAAAACAAAAAAAGAGTTATTTGCAAGAAACAAACCAGAATTAGTTGGATGTGGACACATTGATTTTACAGTTCCTGTGTGTCCTATAAGAACTCCAGTACACTTATTCTCCTCTACATCCCACAATTTAATCTGCATTTAAGCGTATATGAATATCAGTGTCACAATCCTTTCCTCACAAACTAGTGAATTAAAAAAACATTGAGTCACCATCACCACTACTTACAGTTTGATCACCGGAAGCAGTCAGAAGACAACTATCTCCCTGCAGCATAATTTGCAATGAGTGAACATCAAATGAGCTTCACTTAGTTCCATAAATGATTCAGAAAATTAAACGGCATATTACTATAACGTACCTTGATCCAAGAAATGTCAAACACAGCATTATAATGAGCAATCCAGTCACGAAATCTAGCATTCTCTACACATTTGAAACAAACAAAAATCAGTATTCTATTAAGCTCCGGTGAAATTATAAATGCCTGGGACGACTCAATACCTGTATTCTCTTGGTGAGTTGCAGAAGAGTCAAACTTCTTACTCGAATTAAACAAACTCACATGGCCATCTTCATCTGATACCGCGAAAAATCGAGAATTCCGGCTAGTCTATACGTTTTAAAACAAAATCTTTGTTAAACCTAAATCACAAACGATCACAGAGGTATAGATTTCTAAAATCCCACAACAAACTCAGAAGATCTAGCTACATTGAGAAATCAATTGAACCAGAATTTGAACCATACCTTACAAAACGAAACAGCCAACGGCGGAGTTCGAATCCCGTCGTGTTCCACCGCTACGCCGGCTAATTCTCTGCAAGTCAGCTCGGAATCTGGGAAGAACGGTCTCTTCCGTACTAGAACCCAAGAAAAAAAAAGGTTGAATAAGAACAATCTGAAGAAGCTGAATCTCAGATTTACGGATTTGAAATTGTATGTAAAATACCTCGAAATCCGTTGAGCTCTCTGAGTCCGATGTTGACGAAGACGGATCTAGATCTGGAGGATTCCATGAGAGAGTCTCTGCTGCAATCGAGGGAGAGAAGGAGAGAATGATAAAGGAGAGAGAAGCGGCGGAGGAGAAATGAGTTTATGATTTGATTTTTGCCGGTGGAGGAAAAGTTTATCATCTCAATCCGGCGGGACACTGGATTTTTTTTGGGCGGTGTGGTCTCGCACTTTGACGCGGGAAAATTTTAATTTTCCCCCAAAATCGAAAATATTTCATTTTTGTTTTCTGAGAATAGAGAAAGACCTTAAATTCATCTTCACAATACTCATTTCATTTTCTTATAAGGCCCAAATTTGTTGGCCCATTTGGTTTGGAGAGCATGGATTAAAATAATAAAACTCTCCACTTTTTTTGGTCAATTTTTTTTTTTTTGTCAATAAAACTCTCCTTAAGTTCTAGATATACACAATAACACAACCAAAGAAAAAAAAAATCCAGATTTTATATAAAAAAAATGAATTATTTAAACTTCATTTGTTGAAAAAAAAATAATTGTTCACTATGTTAAATGAATTAATTTTTACCACTAAAACAAATGTGATTTTTTTTTACTGTATATATGTTTATCAGTTAAACCGGAATATACCGGTAACTGAATCAAACCGATAACTGATGATCGAATTTAACCAAAAGAAATTCGTATAATTTTAGCAGTAGTTAACCGGATAACATTCGAACCGTTTTATCTGAATAAACCGAATTGAAAAAGATCCGAGATTTTCCCGGGAAAAAACATTATTGTCAACTTCCAATTATACCCTTTACTCTACTTCTCCCACCTAATAATCTTCCTCTGAAAGCTTCGTTCTCTATTAATTCCTGGAGAAGCAACCAAATCGCAAAGGCACAGCTTCTCTTTAAGAGTAACCATCATCTTTAACTTACTTAAAACTCATTCCTTCTTCCTCCAAATTGAAAAAATATCTATTTTCTCTTTTTTTTCTTGTTTCCTCATCTTCATCTTCTACTTTTATTCAAGGAAATGGAAATTTCAAAGAATTCTCAAATTAGCAGAGGATTAGACGATAATGATGGTAAAAAATGGGTCTTCCCCAAAATTTCGATTCGGGCTTCTTTGAAACCTGTGAAGACGAAACTCAAAAAGCCAGCGAGAGAATCAGTTTCAGCTGAGGAGATTTGTGTCACTCCCAAAAGGAAAGAATCTAAAACGTCGGAGAAACTGAAATGTCCAGCTGCTCCAAGGAAACGTGGACCGGTGATGTTGAAGTGTCGGAGCAATAATATTGGTGTAGAGTACTTTGTGCCTCCTTCGGATTTGGAGTCTGTGTTTATACTACGCCGTTAATGTAAACAGACCCAAAAAAAAATACTAAGTTTGGCTTTTGTTTGTGTGTGCTCAAGTCATAAGTCATAACGTTTTCTTTGCTTACTCTTATGTTTGGTTTGGTATAAAAGTATAATACTCGTATGTTTTCACAAGTCTATTAAGCGTTCTAATTCGCAATCCCATCCACAAAAGCTTTTCTATTTAGCTTGTACAAGTAAGAAGTAAGAACCAGCAGTTTCACTCGGACGAATGATCTTCACGACTCTGTTCACGTTTTAGTCCTCCAAAGTATCTTCTGATTGGATTATTCCTAATCATTTAGAACAGGCCCAATGGGCCTTTAATGCGCTATCCGAACTCAAACCCGAACCCGACAGCTATTCTTGAACGGTTGACTTCTTGTCTAAAGCCCTTTTGTCTTCTTCTTTCTAAACCCCTAATTCTCAAAACTCTAGGGTTTTACGTTTTCCAAAAAACCAAAAAAAATCTCCATCGAAATCAGAATATGATCACTACCATACTACGTCGATCTCTCCTTGATGCATCAAAGCCGGCGACTTCCATTAATGCGGTTCTATCTCACCAACTTGCTCCAGCCAAACATTTTAGGGTTCCGGAGATGGGAGGCGTGAGAGATCTCAGCAAGATGACATTTGAAATAAAGAATACATCGGAGGAGGAGAAAGTATCAAGCAAGGATGATGATCAAGGTAACAAAGGGGAGCAATTAATCGTAAGTTATTGGGGTGTGAAGCCAATGAAAATCACCAAAGAAGATGGAACTCAATGGAAATGGACTTGCTTTCGGGTACATTACATATTCTTGTTACTATATGTTTTGTAGGTATTGTTACTTAATCTTGGTTGATTCATATGTATTGTGTGGAATCATGTTAGCCATGGGAGACGTATAAAGCTGACCTAAGCATAGATTTGAAGAAGCATCACGTTCCTTCCACTTTACCAGACAAATTTGCTTATTGGATGGTTAAATCTCTTCGTTGGCCTACCGATCTCTTCTTCCAGGTTCCATATGTTTTAGAAGATTTGGTTACTATGAACTTTAGAAGACTTTAAGTTTGTACTAATTTTACCAAACGGTTGAAACGTACGTACGTAGAGGCGGTATGGATGCAGAGCGATGATGCTAGAGACAGTAGCAGCGGTACCAGGAATGGTAGGAGGGATGCTTATGCACTTCAAATCGCTCAGACGTTTCGAACAAAGCGGTGGTTGGATCAAAGCCCTTTTGGAAGAAGCAGAGAACGAGAGAATGCACTTGATGACATTCATGGAAGTCGCGAAACCAAAGTGGTACGAACGAGCTCTTGTGATCGCCGTACAAGGAGTTTTCTTCAATGCTTATTTACTCGGATACCTAATCTCTCCCAAGTTCGCTCATCGTATGGTTGGATACCTTGAAGAAGAAGCAATACATTCTTACACTGAGTTTCTCAAGGAACTCGATAACGGTAACATCGAAAACGTTCCTGCGCCGGCTATTGCTATTGATTACTGGAGGCTTGAAGCTGACGCAACGCTTCGTGATGTTGTCATGGTGGTTCGTGCTGATGAGGCGCATCACCGTGACGTTAACCACTATGCATCCGTAAGTGTGTTATAAAATAATTATATACTATAGGTTAAAAAGATGTTTAGTTCTGTTAATGGTTTGTATAAACTGCGCAGGATATTCACTACCAAGGTCATGAGCTGAAAGAAGCTCCAGCTCCCATAGGATATCACTGAAATCAGAGAAGAGCTTCTACATTTTTTTTATTTTGGTGCTCTCCAAGTTAATTTTCTTAAATTACTACTCATCATGACTTCTTTGCAATTGAATCTTATGTTGAAGCTAATCCACCACCACATTATATAGTTTTGGAAAATATTAGATATTACATACATTAATTAGTTTTGTTACTTATAATGCAATATTTAAATGATGAAGTTCATTTTACGTGTATAACACATTAGACTACATGATTGATTGCGTAACAAAAATCTCACTATATATGAAACGAAAATATTAAGCTGAAATAAATTCCAATACATTAACTTCATCATGTAATGTTAACAAAAGCAAGTTTAAAAATAAAAAAAAATCTTAATCATGTAATGTAATAATCTGTATATTTTTTCTTCTTCTTTTTTGACATGTAATCCGTATATATTGGTGTGGAAGCTCCCTTAGTCCAGTGGTTGACGAAAGGTTGTTTAAAGCTTCTACACCAAAAAGGTATGGGGTTCGACACCCAAGTAATGCGATTTATTTAATTTGCAGATTAAGGAGATAAGCTTACACGAGATCTATAACAATGCACAGAGCCGTGATTCTACGCATGGAGAAGGAGGTGTCGTCAGGAAATGGTGTAATCTGTGGTGAATCTAAAAGGGTCGGACAGAATTGTCGGTAGTAAAATCGTCATTGTAACAATTCTCATAATTTGCAATAAATAATAAATCAAGAGTTAAAAAAAAAATCTGTCTATATTGGAAGTATATGTATTTTTAAATGTTTATTACTAACTTTTTTATGGAAAAAATTGTTTATATTTTAGTTATATATATTAGAGCAAAATTATCGGGGAGCTTTTAAGTTTTGCTCTTAACATGATTTTTCTCTTAAAAGGGTAAGAGCCTCCATTTTTTCTCTTAATTAAGAGACCATTCTTACCAAAATTCACTTTTTCTTTTTTAAGTAAGAGACTATTCTCACTCTTAAAACACTACCAATAATCAGGGGCGGACCCACATAGAAAAAAGTGGGGGCAGTTGCACCCACCAACCTATTAAAAACTAAAAATTTTACATTAATATTAAAGTTATAAGTGTAAAAATGGTTAAACTGCCCCCTTAGAGTGTTTGAGGTGGTGGGTTCAAGCATCATGTGCTACCTTTTTGCTAAGTCAACGTTTTAAAATCTTGGGAAAATCAATTTTTTTAGTCTGCCTGCTTTGCACAGAGAGACGACGACGACGAGAGAAACAATGGCAGAGGCTGGCGCGATCCGAACCATCGTGGAAGCGATTCACTCATCGCCGACGCAAGCCGTCGTATATCTTTCCGGCGGTGCCTCTCAGGTACGGTTTCTCTCTATCACTCTTTTTTTTTCTTTTTTTTTTGTAATGTAAATTAATTGCGTGATCCAACCAAAAGTGTTATTTCAGTCTTTAGGTTGGTTAATGTCAGTTCCAGGAGCTTCTAACACACTTCTTGAAACCGTGGTTCCGTATTCTATGATCTCTATGGTCCAATTACTCGGAAGGGTTTGTTCTCAATACCTCTCCAATTGATGATCAAATCGTTTCTTGGCTATTAAGTAGTTTTTAATCTCTCTCTCTCTGTCTCAGGTTCCGAATCAACATTGTAGCCAAGAAATTGCGAATGAGATGGCTTTGTTAGCTTATAATCGTGCTCTTAAGCTATCTAAACCAGGTTCTTACTTTACATTTCATTCTTTTAACATTGTTCTTTGCTTAGTAACATTTTGTTAGTTGAGTCCATGAAGTTTTTGTGTTCACGGGTTCAAATCTTGAAGTGGTGGTTTTAACTTTTATATTTGACCAGGGATGTATAGGCTTTAGAGGCCTTAGAACCTTTGGATTATCAATCGAAACATAGTTGTTGCTTATTAGCAAGAAGTAGGAATCTTGGATTGGTTTAACTTGCTAATTTTGGTGGATAGGATATGCGGTTCTTGGTGTCGGTTTCACGGGAACATTAGCAACTTCCCGGCCAAAGCGTGGGGATCATAGGTTATTATGTCCTGCTCTGAATATAAATGTGTTTTGCTTGAAATGTTAGCTTCAATTTAAGTTGCAGTCTGGCAAAAAAATTCAGGGGATTTAGATGTTTTCTCTTATTACTCATTGTTTTGTTCTGTGAGTAGGTTTTTTCTGTCAATCAGAGCATCTAACCGGATATGGGAAACTTCAGTCACTTTAATAAAGGTGATTGCAACAATTTTTCTTATGTATTGCTTTACTCTTTGTTGTTATCTATATCCTCATGTGTTTCTTCTCTTATTTGTGGAATTTTTTTTAGGGAAAACGAAGCCGAGAGGAAGAAGATAAATTGGCAAGCTGTGTACTAATCCAGGTGTGTTATATTAAAGCTAGTTTTACAACCTAATACGTCTAGGGGATAACCTTTCTTAGAGCATTGTACTTTGAGTTAGTTCTTAAAACCTTTTCTGGTTACTATCTTAGGCTATGGCCAAGGCATGCCAAGTTTCTGAGACACTTGACTCTGGCTTGACTGAGTCTGAGGTGCTTAATGAGTCTGAAACCCAGTTTAGTGAAGAAGAAGAACTAGAGCAGCTTATAGATGGAAAATTGTGCTCTAAGATTTATCCGTTTTCCAAAAGTAAGATTTTGGTCATTAGACTCCATAAAACTTGCTTAAAAGCTTGTTAACTGAGTCTTGCACTATTTGCCATTAATAATGTAGTTTCTATACCTATATAGCCGAATCATACGGGTCGGAGAAAAATAGAAAGATTATACTGCCTGGTTCGTTTAACCCGTTACATGAAGGTCATCTGAAGCTGTTGGAAGCTGCAATGAGGTAAGGCTAGTATGTCTGTATTATTCAATCACTCTGTATGTACAAAACTCTGCTGACTCTATGTTTCTTAGTTTAATCTGATATGCTATATTATGCAAGGTAATTAGTAATATGATCATTTCTTTAGTTGTGCTGTATCAATTGGTTCCATAGTTGGATTTTGGAGATTTCTTTGGCATTTTGACATTTTAATTATCTCCAAACAACAAATCTGATAACAAAGTGTAAACAATCTCACAAGCAGATTTGTTGATGCAGTGTTTCTGAGACCGGAGGGTATCCATGTTTTGAAATATCTGCGGTAAATGCAGACAAACCATCACTTACAGTTACAGAGATTAAAGACCGTGTCAAGCAATTTGAAGTACTTGGTACTGTGGAATCTTCATATTTCACTCACTAGTTATTCATGTTTTCAATCTTTGGCATCTCTGAGTCACAACAATCTTATGATCCAGATTCGAGTTATATAACCTTTTTCCAGTGCAAGTTTACGTGCCATTGTTTGATATTGGTTTAGTATCGGTTTTGCAGGAAAGACGGTGATAGTTTCAAATCAACCATTCTTCTACAAGAAAGCTGAAATCTTCCCAGGAAGTAGTTTTGTAATTGGCGCCGACACTGCATCAAGGCTTATAAATGTATGAACCTTTAGCCTAATCCTCTTTTTGTTTTTTCTCTAAACCTTACAATAAGATTTATATACTACACTAGTTTACTGTTGCAATCATGTACTCTATTCTTTCAAATCCACACTATAAAAAAAGAACTAAGCAACTTTTAACTTCTTACAGCCAAAGTACTATGAAGGAAGCAAAACAAGAATGTTGAAGGTACTAGGTGATTGCAAACGAACAGGTTGCAAGTTCCTTGTTGGTGGCCGCAATGTAGACGGTGTATATAAGGTTTTACCTCAACACTAGAATCTAAACCAATACGCATTGTCTATGTGGTTTTATAAAGTGTGCCTTACTTAATCCTTGCTCCTCTCCAGGTTGGTGGCGATCTTGATATTCCGGATGAAATAAAGGACATGTTTATCTCAATTCCAGAAAACACATTCCGGATGGATATATCCTCTACAGAGGTAAGAAAGAAGCAAAGAGGTTCTGTTTCATAATACACGAAGTAATGACACGCATCAAAGTCCGTAAATGTTAGTAACACGCATGAAACAGCTCTCAATAGAATGGGATGTCATGGTAATCTTCGTATGTATGTGTATGCTGAGAAAGAGAAACAATAAGTACTCGATGTTGCACAGGATTCTTCATTGTTTGAACTCGAGAAAATTTGTTCTCTTATTACTAGATCCTCCCGAAATGCCATCTCTTTCCGCAGACTCAATGGTTGATTGTGCAGAAGTTCTTGGTAGAGGAAAACCTGTAAGCGATGATGCCTCCTGTGCTGATTTGAGTTAGATATTTTGTTTTCTGTCGAAACATGTTTGGGGTTAATAATGTATGAGATAGAATTTTGTTTCAAACATCAAAAACCAAATGTTTCGTCTCTACCGTAACAATATGATTACCAATATTGCATAAGACTTTGGACTTTATGTACGTGAAGAGGGGTGAAACAAACATGTGAGAAAGAAGAAACGACGACCCTAGCAGCAGTCAGCAGAGAGTGTTACAATGATGTATTTATGTAAGCTTCACATCGCATTTATCCGTATTTAAATTTCAACCTTTGACAAATTAATTATCTTTGTTTTGGTCAGTCTCTACGAGTAATCAGAAAGAGGCCTTATATTTATATTAACGGGCCTTAATAAATAAGCCCATTTTGCTGTGGAAACTTGTATCATACGTCCCACATCGCAGTAGAACAAGAGAAGACGTCGTGTTTATATAGCGTTACAGTCGAACAAGTAATTGTCCCTTCGGGGGCATCCGTTAAAATTGGAACGATACAGAGAAGATTAGCATGGCCCCTGCGCAAGGATGACACGCACAAATCGAGAAATGGTCCAAATTTTTTTTTAGTTGTTGCAATTCTAATGTTGTTGTTTTGGTTTTGTTCCCATCTCTGTTCTGGTTAAAGCTTCAAACTCTTAGGCAGCATTGATCGAAGGGATTTTTTCCTTGTGTTTTGAGCATGTCTATGTATGTCTTCGTTCTCTGATCTATTGAGTCGTTACATTTGATTAAGTTTAGGAGTAAGCACGTTTTATTACGGTTGTTGCATTGGTAATTCAAGTGTTATCTGAAACTCCTTTCCCCTAGATTTAGTTAGTACATTCATAAGGCTGTGCCAATGTTTAAGCAATTATATATATCTAATTGTTAGGTTTTGGTCGCGTTGTTATAAACATCTCTTCGACCCATGTTTTAGTTTTGTAACGATTTGATAGATTCGGTTGATATATATATGTCCAGAGGCTCCGAGCCTAATTTGTATCTTGTATCTTTTCTGAATTTGTTCACCACATTACCCTAATTACCTTCTTTGCATTCCATTATCAGTCGATATATATATTGATAGCAATTACAAAGCAAGAAGATTTAGGCTCAAATGAGCTTATTAAGATTGATTAAACTAAGAGATTAGATAGCTTTATTCAAATGAAAACTTAAAGATAAAAAGATTGTATTATATTTGTTGATATATGTCAATGTCACTAACTCACTCATATACCAATTTTCAAATTTGCATAATACTTGTAATTGACAAGAGAAGGCTACGGACTTTGCACATGAAAGATAATCAAAGACGTCCGAGACAGTTGCAGATTGAGACATTTCGGTTTGTGTTTGGTTTAGTGGATTAAAAATTTATTATGCAATGCTTCGGTTTAACTTAGTTTTGGTTAGGTTAGTTTTGTTTGGTTAAACACAAATAATAAAATGCGCCGTCGTGCACGTGGTGTTGCCGGGAGTTCACGTGCATCCATGTGTGAGGCTTTGGGGGGCGCCTCGGTCGTAACTTCCGCTTCCTTCATTATGTTAATCAATTAAAAGTGTAATTAGTTTATTTAATTACTCGTTGGTTTAGATGCATCCACCAAAATTAGTGTTAAGTTAACCAATGGAAGCAAAAAACTTTATAGTTTTCTAATAATGCTTTAGTAGCAATGGTTCAATGTACCAGCCAATCTCGAATTCTTAGGACATGGTCTCGTAATTAAAAAAAAAATTATTATTATTAAAAAATCTACCAACAAGATTTGCATTGGTGCAATTAATATCTAATGATTATGATTCCATGTATTAATCTCTCATCGCACAGACATAAAATTGAAAATATAAATTTTTAATGAAGAAAATATGAAAATGGATAAGTCTCTTGTCAGTTATCTCATTTATTTTCCGTATCTTATACAAGTACACAAATAATTAGTGTTTGTTTTTTTTTGAAAAGGTCCAAATTAAAAGCATCAAAACTGCACATAGTTTTTTTTTTTTTTTTTTGGTAACAATGTGAAGATTTATACCATTTTTGAAAATTTTGACAGAATTACAGAGGAAACACGAAACGGAAAAACCAAAAACTAAAGAAACCACCAAAGATACAACACAACACAAACAGAAAACAGGGAGGAAAACAAGTGAAACACTATAAGCAGAGATCCACGAAGAAACACCGATTCCGAACAAAGCTCGAAAATTTACGTAATTGCCTGAACTGCACATAGTTAAACAGATTTTATTTTTATTTTTTAAACAGATTAAATTTAGATTACACTAAAGTTTAAACATTTTTTGTTTTGTTACGATAACTCTAAAATACGATCGATACATTTGCATTATATATAAAAAGCGCTCCTTATCACATTTGCATTGTGTTTATTGTTTAAAAATGAAAGTGTGAATTTGTGATGAATGCAAATCGTTGTCATTGTTTTTGCATTTAAACAACTCTCATAAACTACGTCTAAATCATCTCTCAAGTATCTAATATGGTTATATAACATATCCATATAGACCATAAAAATGAACGAGATTGTAAATTATTATCATAAATCATCTATGTCACAGTTTATAATTACGATTAAAAAAATAAGTTTGAATTAATTTTCAATATGGTTAAATTTCAAAGTTATTTTAATAAAAGTGTGTAGCTTATGAGTTTACTCTCTAACGGTAACTCATAAACTACATTCTTTGTACTATATATCTTTAAATTTCAACTATAACAAAAAATTAACTCAATCTATTTTGTTTTGCTATTAGTTTTTTTTGTATTCTATAAAATTAAAACCTCATTCAACCAGTAGAATTTCAAAATTTAAATATTTGGATTTCAGATTCGTCGAATATGCCCAAAAAAATTAACGTGACCCTACTACAATTATGTTTCTTAGGTCCATAATATTAAATAGATACTACTAAATAAATACTCAAAACTTTATAATAGCCTAGACATTAACAAATACATAACACGAAGATTCATACACAAACGAGTGTATAATATAATCTACTAATTAGTTCAGCTCCCCTACTTAATTACACTAATTAACATTTTACATTTTAACAAAAAAAAAAAAAAACAATTACAAATAACGTAAAGCAAGAAACAAGAAACATTGCTTTTGAGTTTTGAGGGAACATCGCAAGATCGAGAGTTTAAAAAGTTGTAAACTTTCCCATAAAACGACGAACACATTTTTAAAAAATTTCTTTTTTCTCTTTATCTTCCTCATTCACCTGAAGAAAGAAACATTAAAAAAAAAAAAACAAAACTGTTTCTTTAATCGATTCATCTCTTCTTCTTCTCTTCGACATTGATCGGATCGGATCTACAAAAAAAAACTCAGTCAAAGAAAAAGAAGAGATTGTTTTCACTTCACTAAGAAACTACTGATTTGTCTATGATCAGGTGTTATTTTCTTTCCTTCTTCTTCATCTTCTTCTTCTCTGTTTCTGTAACTTTTCCGGGAATTTGAATATTTTGCGGGAAAAAAAATCGAAACTTTTTCTTTTTCTCTGCGTTTTCTCGGCGGTTACTTAGAATGGTTTCTTTGATTGAGTTTACGCAACACTAATCATTGATTATAAAGATGTTATCTTTACCGTAATCTTTGCTGTGTGTGTTTTCACCTTTTTCGCTTTCTTTCTTTGGTTTTGAAGTTAACCTTTTTCTTTCAGGAATTGTGTCAAACACCTTCAATGGAATCTTCATCAGTCGATTACGTTGGCTCATCGTCGTCCAAACCCAGAAACCCTCCTGCTAAATCCAAAGGTTCCATGAAATCTTTCTCAATTGATTCGAGGGGTACCAAGAAATCAGAACGACCATTGAAGAAGAAGACGTCAAACCCAGAACCAGAACCAGAAACACCAACTTCCCCTGAAGTTTTAGAAAGTTCTGAATCCTCTGTTTCTGCTGAATCCGAAACACCAATTTCGATTACACGGATGAAGAAACAATCAGAGCCGAGGTATTACCCTAGCCCAACGAACACGTTTTACACAGCACCGCTTTACTCAGAGGCAAAACAGAGCTTTACAAACACAGAAGTCAGTGAATGTGCAAGCACGAGCACTATTGGTGTAGGCGGTATTGATTTGGAGAAGACGGGTTTAATGATATACAGAGGAAGTACAGGGAGTGATGTTAGTGATGAGAGTAGCTCGAGTGGTATGAGCAATGCAGCTTATAAGCCGCATAGAGCTAATAATGACAAGCGTTGGGTTGCGATTCAGGAGGTTCGATCTCGGGTTGGTTCGTCCCTTGAGGCTAAAGATTTCAAGCTGATGAAACAACTTGGAGGTGGTGACATTGGGAAGGTTTACTTAGCTGAGTTGATTGGAACAGGAGCGAGTTTCGCTGTGAAAGTTATGGAGAAAGCAGCTATTGCAGCGAGGAAGAAGCTAGTTAGAGCTCAGACTGAGAGAGAGATACTTCAATCTTTAGATCATCCGTTCTTGCCTACGCTTTATTCGCATTTCGAAACAGAGAATCATTCGTGTTTGGTTATGGAGTTTTGTCCTGGTGGTGATTTACATTCTCTCCGGCAAAAGCAGCCTGGAAAGTACTTCCCTGAGAGCGCAGCAAGGTAAAAACTGAGACTTTGAGGTTAGGATTTGTGTGGTTAATGTTTAAAGTTTTGATCTTTTTGCTGTTTTGGTTTGTAGATTCTATGTTGCTGAAGTTCTTCTAGCTATGGAGTATCTACACATGCTTGGGATCATATACAGAGACCTTAAGCCTGAGAATGTCTTGGTTCGTGAAGATGGACACATAATGCTATCAGATTTCGACCTTTCACTGAGATGTGCAGTCTCTCCAACGTTAGTCCGGTTTGCAGCAACCTCGACACTTGACTCGAAAAGCTCAAGCTACTGTATCCAGCCAACATGTGTAGACCAATCAAGCTGCATTGTTCAGCCTGACTGCATCCAGCCAGTGTGTTTCACACCTAGGTTCTTGTCTAAAAGCAAGAACAAGAAGAAGTCGAACGATATGAGCCGCCAAGTCAGACCGCTCCCTGAGCTGATCGCTGAACCGACTAGCGCAAGGTCAATGTCTTTCGTTGGGACACACGAGTACTTAGCACCAGAGATTATCAAAGGAGAAGGTCACGGAAGCGCAGTCGACTGGTGGACATTCGGGATCTTCCTCTATGAGCTTCTGTTTGGGAAAACACCGTTTAGAGGAGCCGATAACAGAGCGACGCTCTTTAACGTAGTTGGACAGCCATTGCGGTTTCCCGAGCACCCAAGTGTGAGCTTTGCAGCTAGAGATTTGATCAGAGGATTGCTAGTGAAAGAGCCTCAGCATAGGTTGGCTTATAGGAGAGGAGCCACTGAGATAAAACAGCATCCGTTTTTCCAAAGTGTGAATTGGGCTTTGATCAGATGCACCAGTCCACCTCAGATTCCTCAACCGGTTAAACCCATGGATCAAGCTCATAGTCTTCGTCATGGTCATAGTCAAGGACATGGACAGAGTGGTCATGATAATAAGCCACCTGCTGTGGATGTGAAGCCTTCTGGTAATTATTTGGAAATTGATTTCTTCTGATTTGTGTCTTTCAACTATCAGTTTTGGTTGGTTCAATCTTGTTCTGCCGTATTATGATTTTGTGCTACTGATGTGTTCTCTCTTACCAAACATTTGACTTGTGTTCTTCACATTATGGTGAGGTTGTATCTAGTTTTTTTTTTTGCTTTTTCCAATACATATATTCGGAACAAGTTTCTTTTAATGCAATTATGGATATGTAAATTTAATCATTTGCAATTTTGTGCTACTAACGATTTGTTTTTTTTTTTCAGTCATCAAACAGATTAGTGATCTTCATTAAGTTTAGAAAGGAAAGTTACAAATGTTCCTCTCAAAAAAAAAAAAAAAAAAAGAAACTTAAATAGAATCTAAAACATTAATATCTTTATTAATATATTTACTTTTACAATCATGAGTTGACTACAAAAGCATAGAGCCGGGCTGAGCTAATTTATTTCTCAGACCAAACTATTCAGAATCGGGATCAATACTAGGCTTAGTATATCCTGTCTTCAAGATACTGTTGTCTTGTCTCCTTTATGACTGAGACAAAAGATGTCAAAACTAGTTAACTCATCTCATTTAATATGTTGATCATTCAACATTTTATAGGTTTTGGCTTGGCTCGAACCGCTAAAACCCGCATGTCAAGCTGCTACAGGCTACTGTGCGATTTGAGCATGTTTAAAGTTGTTGTCCGCAACAGGGCTAATCATTGGGCCAGACACCTCTAACTGAGATCACAACCTAGTGTTAGTGGGATGCACCTAGACCGGTTTGTGATTGGAGAAAGGATACAAAGGAGGTCAGTGCAAAAACGAAAAACATAACAAAGCACCAGTATACAGAATCATGTGAGAGGACAAAGAGTAATAAAATTCCAAAGTGGAATACTGAAATGGGTACACATATAGGCCAAACAACTAACTGAGGGAGATAAGGTAAGGTAAAAAATGACAAGTGAAACAAATAGTCTTGTTCTGACCAAGTTGCTTTCAGAAAGAGACATTATCTAATTGCTTCCATGTGAGTTAAGTAAGCTGTCGCTTTACAAACTTAGAATCTGTCACAATTTCTTTCCAAATAAAAACGTGACAGATCATTCTGATTGATTCCCAACTTTCAAACAAAAACAGACGACGAAGACATAATGCCCTTAACCATACACCAAAAGCTCTGCACTATTGAGAAAACATTGTCATTGAAAATTTGCAAACACATATTGATGTTTTGAATTCTTAAGAGGCTGTTTCTTTATCCAAAAGACAATAAAATATCACCATTCCCAAGCATCTGACTAGCGGTAATCTTAAAGTTGTTCAACTTTCCAGCTTTGGTGAGAAGCAATGTGTTTGTGGGAAGGAGTATATAGCTGCCAAGAAGAACAATAACTGAAAAACTATGGTACTGTTTGTACTCAAACACACATATGTAATCTAAAGTGTTTTAAGGTACCTCCATCTTCTCCATAAGTTCTTTAGCCGAGGGAGCAGAAACAATGATATTACGAGCGCCTTGCTTAATAAAACCTTCTTCAACTCCAGTGTCAAATAATGCAAGCAAATTGTTATAGTAACCATCAACATTCAAAAGACCAACCTGCAGAGATAATACAATCCTCATCATTAACATAGTATCTCTCTGTCTTCTTCTGGACACCTGCAAAGGGAATGGTGTCAAAATACCGTCTTCTTATGGATACCGAGTTGTGCCCACGTTATTATCTCCAGAAGTTCCTCCATAGTTCCATAACCTCCTAATGAAAAAAGAAGCAAGCATCTTTAAGAATATGGAGAAACAGAAAAACTCGTAAACCCGTTAGAATTTTGGAATTAGAAAACTTGCCAGGAAGCGCAATGAAGGCCTCAGCTTCGTGAGCCATTGCAGCTTTACGCTCGTGCATGTCTGCAACAATTCTTACATCTCCAACAGTCTCACCAGATATCTGCTTAAACCCATTCAATCAAGAAGCAATTAACAAAAACAAAATAGAGTCATCCAATCCAAGACTCAGTATCATCTCCTAAGCTAGCAGAATATCCAAATTCAACTGCAAACAATGGTTCTTTAGATGGATAGTTCAGAAAATGAAAGGTTTCAAGATGTAAACATACCTCAATAGGCATCAAAGCTTTTGGAATGATCCTGCATTATACAAAACACACACACAAAAGCTCTAAGTTCAAAATTTCTTAAACTGTATCTAATAGAAATGAAGGAAAATAGAAGAGAGAGAGACTCTTAAACTAACCCGAGTACATGACAACCACCTTCTGAGACTCTCCGAGATATCAAACCCATTAGACCAACACTTCCACCTCCATAAACCAAATCAATCTTCCTCTTCACCTACAAATTCCACACCAATCTTTACAAATACATACACAACATTTCAGAGCAACACCAATTTCTCAAGGCACACAAACAGAGAAAACATAAAGATGAACAAAATCGTATCCAACAACACCAAGTCTAAACATTTTCACAAATAAACACAAACCCATGTCTAAAAACTTTCACAAGAACAAGCACAACTCAAAAAGTTTGTATCTTTGGCTAAAAGTTTCGATTTTTATCCATTCATTTGTTAGAAAAGTTCATATCTTTAGACACCCAGAACAACGATATTGAGAAGAAGAGAGCAAAAACCAAACCAGTTCATTGCCAAGTTCGGTTGCAGCATCGCTGAAAACTTCTCTGTGACCAGAGTTACTTCCGCAAAAAACACAAATTTTACTGAATCTGCTTCTCTGATTTTGCTCCATTACTGTAAGCTGCAAAAGCCCAACTTTTTTTTTTTTTTTCCCTTTTCTCCAGAAGCCGTTATAAAGCTAATCACCAAAAGAGGAAAGCATCAACACAGTGAACGAATAAAGCGACAAAATAAAATCTCTGTTAGCTGGTAGTGACGTACTACTATATATATGACGCAATAACCATATAATTTTGCTTTCGGTTTGGTTTGGTTTGGTTTGGTTCGGATTTGAATTTGGATTCAGGCAGAGGCAGCTCAGTTTTTGTCAGTTTGGTTTTATAACATTTTAGCTAAGTTCAATCAAAGTTAGAGTTGTACTGTATATGGTTTAATATGACGATTTGGTTCAAGTTCGATTCACTGTGATAAGCAAAACAAACTATAACATGTAGGATTGTTGTTTTAATTTCAAAGGTATTGAAATTATGTTTTAATTCGGATTACCTTCCGCGTCATTGAATTGTTGAGTTAATCAGATTCGACCAAAACTTAATCATATGTACATGCATCATATAAATAGTTGGAGATATTAATTAACATGTGTAAAATAATTGGAAGTTATGAAAAGTTTATTATATATATTTTCCATTTCAGGCAGAAATCATGTATATAATGATTTTAGTTTAAAAACTATTTGTTATTTTGTGTGTTTTTACAATCGAAAACGCTTTAAAGTTATAATTTAAACGTTTACAAACGCGGATTTTATATAATTTGTGTAAAGAACCAAACAAGCTCCTCTCTCTCAGTGAGCAAATTAAAAGAGACGTGAAGGTAATGTACTAATGTCTTTGCTGATTTTGCCTATAAAGCAAAGGAACTAAACACATCTTACTCTCACTTTTAATCCTAGTTTCACTCCTCATTCGAGTCTTTCTTCAATCAAGGTTGCTTTTCTCTTTTTTTTTGTTGATCCTCAAGTTTAATATTTTGTTTCTTGCAAAATGGGTTTACTCTTGATCTTGAAAATTTTGCTTCTGTAACTATTATAATATCTGAAATCTTGAGAATATACCAACTTTTGTTTTGTACAATGTAACTCACTTTAGTGTCTCCTCTCTGGTTTTGATTCTTGTCTCAGTTTTGATAATCTTGTGTTGTTGATACCAACCAAGATTATGACTTAGTAATTAGTATCATCGCTTTAGGGTTATGGCTTATTTTTTGAAGGTTCATAAAACGGGATTTAACTATACAATACAATGTTTGCTCTGACTAGATTTGGTAATGATGGACATGATGAAGATTTCTAGGAGATTTTTCACAAATGTTTGCATACTTTTAGTTCTCCTGTGCTCTTGTTCTGTCTACCAAAACAAAACCATTGTCTTGCTGATGCTCAAGAAGACACTATTGTGATGATGACACTGCAAGTAGATGCTTCTAACGTGACAAGACGACCAATTCCTGATACTCTCTGTTCGGTATCTTCTTTGAGGTCACAATTACCTAAATCCTCTCTTAAAGTCATCATCTTTAATGTTTTTAACTCTTACAAATTTGGCTGAATCTTATGCAATTATTTTCAGGAAATTAATCATGCTGGAGCAGGTGGACTATGGGCTGAACTTGTTAGCAACAGAGGTTCTCTGGATTTTTTTCTTTGAATTTTTCCTGTGAAGCTTTCTTTAAAGAGAATGGTTATAACTTATAACAATCTTTGGTTCCAGGATTTGAAGCTGGTGGACAAAACATTCCTTCTAATATCTGGCCTTGGTCCATTATTGGAGATGAATCATCCATTTACGCCGTTGCAGACCGTTCTTCGTGTTTTGAGCGAAACAAGATTGCTCTTAAAATAGAAGTGCTTTGTGACAGCAATGGCAGTAGCAATTCTTGTCCTTTACGAGGAGTCGGGTTTTATAACCCGGGTTACTGGGGCATGGTGCATTTTTTATACTCTTAGCTTGTTACAATTTGCAATTTCTCTAATGCTTAAACAAGTGTTTACTCATATGCAGGGCCGGCCCTTCTATAAGGCAACTAAAGCAGGGGCTTTATGCCACATAATATATATAAATTTTAAGGCTTCATATTTTAGAATTAGTTATTGGTTCAGTGGTTTGGATGAGGTTTCTAATCTTGCTATCGCCATTGTTCGAGTCCTATCCTAGGCATTTTTTATATTTTTCTTTTTTTTGGTTAATATCTTTTTATATCTCTTCATCCCTTAAATATTTTTATTTTCTTTTCCAAAAATTTCTTTAATTTCATATAGAAAATTAGGAAGTTTTATTTTTGTTAGCAAAAATAAAATTAGATCTTTAAAATTTTAATGACTTTCTGCATCAATTATATGTAATATTTTTAGTACTTTTCGGATGTTTTAATATTAATCTTTTATCATCAATACATTTATATAAGAAGGCCACATTTTTCTAATATGCTTTAAGCCACCTATCGGCTAGGACCGGCCCTGCTCATATGTGTAAATTTTTTTTACGTTTAGAATATTGAAGAAGGGAAAAAATATAATGTGGTGTTCTATGTGCGTTCCACTGGGGACATTGATCTGTCTGTGTCATTTACAAGTTCTAATGGATCCCTGACTCTTGCTTCAGAAAATATTCAGTGAGAAATGAAACTTTTACATTTTCCAAAAAAATTTTATGAAAGAAAGCTCCTCTCCGGTACAACTCAACTTTCAGGTTTGATTCGTCTCTGTCTCTAACGTTACTTTGATTCAATTTTTTTATTTTTTTTCTTGTTTGTTGGAATTTATATTTGTTATCTGAAGTGAAAAGATCTTAAATTGGTGGAGATATAGGTTTAGATGTGACTATTGTGAAGCTCTTTATTGTTATCAATTGATAGTTTCTGTCTTAGGTGTTTATGTAGACTCCTGAGATTTTTTTTTTTTTTTTTTCTATCAAACCGAACCGGGGATCAAAACCGGTTTACAAAATCAGAATCAACCAAACCCGGTACAACCTACACAACTAAAGAAGAAACCCTAGGTGAAGCAGTCTTCAAGCTCCGCCGCTAGGTTTCATCTCGTCATCGGGAACTTCCAGTCACCGTCGAAGCTACCCTCAATTAGAGAGACAACGACAAGGAGAACAACTCTCCTAACACCACTGCCGAAGTCTGAGAACTTTAGGATGATGGATTGTGACGAAAATGTTGGGAATGAATCACTTGTTCTGATTAAACAAGGAGCCGAAGCTGTAAGTGTATATGGTTGAATCAGTGTATATGTTTCTTTTTTTTGTAGCAAGACTGAGTATTTTAAATTTTTCATTTTAGAGGGTGTTTGAGTCTACATTTGCTGGAATAAGAAGATCAATAGTGAAAGAACGGTTCTCGAAGAAATATAGACACCCGGTTTTGGATGCGAAACTCACGCTTAAGCGCTTGAATGCGGTTGGTTAATGTTCTGCTGCATCACCTTATTCTTGATTTCATTGTTTATATCATGAGAGAAAAGTGTTGTCTTATATGTTGTTGGATCTAGGAGGCTAGGTGTATGACAAAGGCAAGAAAGCTCGGAGTTTGTACTCCAGTACTCTATGCTGTGGATACTCTGCTTCATTCCTTGACACTTGAGTACATTGAGGGCGTCTCTGTTAAGGACATTTTTCTTGACTTTGGAGCTAATGGGATTGTTGAGCAACGGTTAGATGATGTTGCTACTCAAATTGGGGCTGCCATCGCGAAGCTCCATGATGGTGGCTTGGTTCACGGTGATTTGACCACATCAAATATGTTAGTCAGAAGTGGCACAAATCAGCTGGTAAGTAGTATCTTCAGAGGTTTTGATTTCTTCCTACTTGTGATTCATGACAATGGATATGTCTTCCCCTTATAGGTACTAATCGATTTTGGGTTGAGTGTCACATCGACCTTACCTGAAGACAAAGCTGTTGATTTATATGTACTTGAAAGAGCCTTACTCTCAATGCACTCTTCATGCGGGAATGTGGTAAGAATCATAATTCCACTACTTTTGATGGTTCCATTGTTGTTTGTCTCATATAGCTTATTTTGTCGTCAAATGTAGATGGATCGTATACTGACAGCGTATAGGAAGTCGTCGAAGCAATGGTCAGCCACGTTTAACAAGCTTGCACAAGGTTTTTTTTTATTAAAACCCTCTTCTTAAAACCAACTATGGTTACAAACATGTAAAAATTCTTCTTTTGGTTATGCAGTGAGGCAACGGGGGAGAAAACGGACTATGATTGGATGAGCCAAGATATTTACTGATCCTGTCCTTGAACGTGTGAGTGTGACTACAAAAGGCACACGAAATTTTATCTATATGTTCAAATAGAGGTGGGAGGACACATGCCCTGAATTATTAAGTCATGTATACCCCAGAATTGCATTAGTATCTGGTTGAATCTTCTGCCCTTTAGCAACCTTAATGTCAAAGTTTTGTAAAATCTCCACCACCACAGTCTTCATTAAATTCGTAGCTATTTGTTTACCTAGACAACTTCTTGGGCCGCCATGGAATGCTAAGAACTTGAAGGAAGGTACATGTCTCAATGTTCCGGTCTCTGAAATCCATCTCTCTGGCTTGAATTCTAATGCATCTTCCCTCCCATGTGGCTCTCATCCTACCCAGCGCATAAATGAAGATAAAAATCTTCGAGTTTGCTTCGACTTTATGGCCACTTGGAAGCACATTTGTCTTTACGGGAGACACAAGCTCGACCGGAACTGGAGGGTAAAGCCTCATTGTTTCACACAATGTCCCATGTAAATACACTAACTTTTTCAAGTACTTCATTGAATCATAAGACAGCTTTTCTTGGCCACTACTAGAACCTCTAGGTAGAATTGTGTCCATCTCTTGGCGAATTTTAGTCACCACTCTAGGGTTTTCGGACAAAAGCCAGAAGAACCAAGTGAGAGCAGAGGCAGTTGTATCCCTCCCAGCTAATAAGAACCCTATGATAGTGTCTCTAAGGAATTTATCATTGATAGGATTCAAGAGTTGGTACTTGGTTGTAGGCATGACCACGGTTACGGTTAATGCGGTTATGGTTAATTAACCACCGGTTAACGGTTATAATTTTTTTAACCATAACCTTAATCATTATATATACGGTTAAGACGGTTACGGTTATATACGGTTACAGTTAATTACGGTTACGGTTAAATACGGTTACGGTTATTTGATGATTATTATAATATTAATATTGGAGATAAAATTTTATGAAATATTATTTATTTTACAAGTAAAAAATATATGTGATTTCAATTATTTATAGTGAATTAGTTAAATCTGGATATTGTATACAGTTATAATATAATTTATTTTAAAAATTTAAAAGTTAACCGTACGGTTAACCGAGCGTTTAACCGTACGGTTAACCGACGATTAATTACGGTTAATTATGGTTACGGTTAATTAACGGTTACGGTTATTATTATTTTTTAACCGTAACTAATTTACTTTTACGGTTAACGGTTACAATTTTTAACCGTTTTATACGGTTACGGTCCGGTTACGGTTGATAAACGGTCCGGTTACGGTTAAAAATACGGTTAAGGTTAGCTTTTGGTCATGCCTACTTGGTTGTATCAAGCTTCATGTGAGATGCCAAAATATCTTCATTGTCTCCATAAAAAACTAGATTTTCATATTATAATATTAACTGTACCCTATTTTTAACTGGCTTATCAATGATAATTCTCTTAATTAATTTACAAAAATGGATTTTAATTACGTGTGGTGTTCCTAATTGATAATTTAGTTGAGCATAATAAATACTTCAAAACAATCAAAGAGTATTTCATTTAATCTAAAGTAACTGTCTGTCACCTAAGTAGTTTGACGGACGAGTAAAGACTGGTAGATGATTAGCACACCTAAGTCGAATCTTTTCTGTAAGCCGTGGTTGGTAGAAGGATTGAGTCACCGGCCAGTCACTTTAACATCAGGTCCAATTGGCGTGGAGCTGTGAGAGACGGTTGGTTTCAGATTTTACGAATGAAATGATAAAAACATAAAATTTCAATTTCATGAAATTATTTAAATGATAACAAAATTAACATCTTCTTTTCGATTGATTCGATTCTTCAACTCTCTCTCTTCTTCATCTTCATCTGCTTCTTCTTCTATCTACTTCTGCGAAACCCTAGAATTTGGAATAGGGAAGAAGACTTCAATGGCGGAAGTAGCAGAGAACGTTAACGCTGTGCCGGTTTCGGAAGACGAGGTGTATGGATTTAAACGGGAAGAGATGTACAGTGGTACTCTCGCTGGTTCCGTTGGTCCGTACGGTCGCCATGTTTTCCTTTGTTACAAGAGTCACGAGACTTGGCTTGCTCGTGTTGAAACTGAAGGTCTTCCGCAGCGTTTCGCTAAGTCGTTTAAGGATCGCAAAGCTGATTTCGGAGTTGAGGTAAACACTAACGCGCAAGGGTTTTTGTGATTTGGATTCTCTGGTGTGAAGAGTCTTGTTTAGTTTTGTTGTTGTTGTTGTAGACGAAGCTGACGGTGTGTGGTGGTGGTGAATCGGATGGAGATGTGTTGATGTTCCCGGAGATGGTTAGATACAAGTAAGTTAATCGGAGATCCGATTCTCAGCTAGTTTTGCTTTTCTTATGAATAGGACTTGGCTCTCTGGTTTTGGAATTTTCTTGCTTAGTAGTTCGATTTCTAGGGATTTAAGAGCTGGAGATGCTCAGATTTTGTGTCTTTGAGTTGTGGAGATTATGATGTTTGAACTCGAGATTTGGATCTGAAAAATCCAGTTTATGATCATTCTGTTGATATGCGCTTATGTTACTATGTGATCGTTCTTTGCATTGTTTTGGATATTGCAGCCATCTTGGTACTTATTGTTGTACATTTTCTCTTGTTGTTGTTGTTATTGTTAAAGGGCGATTCAGGAGACAGATGTGGATGGTTTTGTGGAAGATGTGCTTGTGAAAGGAAAACCATGGACCTCTGGGATTCAAGAAGAGTTAACTGGTTCCTTTGTGTTTGTGTGTGCTCATGGTAGCCGCGATAAGAGATGTGGAGTTTGTGGACCAGCTCTTATGGAGAAGTTTGAGCAGGAGATAGAGTCACGCGGACTTTCAGACAAAATCTTCGTATTGCCATGTTCTCATATTGGTGGGCACAAGTATGCTGGAAATTTGATTGTCTTCAGCCCTGATTCAGCTGGAAATATGTCTGGCCATTGGTAAGAAAATGTCAAATTCAAGTTGCCTGTATTATTCAGAAAAGAAATTGAACTGTAAGTTCTTATGCATTAGAAAATGATATATGCTATTATGCAGGTATGGTTATGTGACTCCTGATGATGTACCTGCAATGCTTGATCAACATATCGCGAAAGGAGAAATCATACAAAACCTTTCCAGGTCTGTTTTCCAACCTCCGGTTTCTAGCTAGTTGCAGATGTCTCTGATAAAACATTTCATCGTGTCCAGTATAAATTTATACTTCAATGCTTCTAGAGAACCTTGCACTAGATTTATAACCTCGTGTTGGAACTTTGAACTAGAAATGTTTTCCAACATACAAATTTTTTTTTGTTATGAATGTTACAAGTCCATATTAGGTCTTAACTAGTATGACTGTATGATACTACAGCATAATAGCTAGAATAGTTGACAAGTTTCTGCATATAGACAGCAAAAACTAACTTGTAATGGGTGCTTTGGTTGAGGTTGTTATCTTCCAAACCAAGAAGCTCATAACCCTTTATTCGCTCAGTTTATCTAAAGTATTTTTTTTTTGTTTTATAAATGACATTGCCAAGGAAAGGTTCCTACCTTTTTTTTTTCTGATATCTTGAAAGCTTAGTTCCATTCAACACAATGTTTCTGTGATTAATCCTGATAATTTCCGTCTCAGGGGAGGGATGAGACTCAGAGCCGAAGGTGAGGAAGCTGAGAAAGAAGATGAGCATAAAATCCCAAACGGAAACAGCATAGTGGAACCACGTGAACCTGTGGAGCAGAAAGAGGGATTCACAGGAGGTTGCTGCCAAGGTGCAAACGGAGTTTCATGTTGCCAAGAACAAGCTCCAGAGCCAGAGAAGAAAGAAGGATGCACGAAGCTAAACTGGTTGAGATCGATGGGAAAAGAAGAGGTTCTCTTGGGAGCAGCAGCAGTATCAGCTGTCGCAACCATAGCCGTGGCATACAGCATTTACAGAAGGTCAGGTTAAGACCCAAGAAACTGAACCACCCCTCCTCTTTCTTACCATTTTCAAGAAGAGAGTATAAACAAAAAAAGGAAAAAAACTTTTATTTTTGGTAGCCATATATATATATAGCAGTAAAGGACAAAAAGAAAAAGAAAAAACATGGAGAGGTAATAATATTTTGGAACTTGGGATGGCAAATTTGGTTTTGGTATGGCAAATACAGGAATTTGGGATTGTAATCTGCATTTGACTCGGTTTAGTTTAGTTCTCTTGAACCCTTTCATATTTGACATTCATATACATATCAAAGCTGCTTATGTTTTAGAGTTTTAAGACAGTTTCCTATATGTTTGGCTCTATTGAAACTGGAACCAAGTTAAGCCAAACCATTTAGAATTTGGTTCAAATGATACAGTTTTGGTTCTGTTTTGATTTTAGTTAAGAAAAAATAAAATAGAAAAAAATAATAAAGAAAAAATTATAGATTAATAATATAAAAAGTGGAGAAATCATATAAATATGCAAAGGTACACACAAAGGACAGTCGTAGTAAGGCTTCTCTAGGTGAAAAATGGATCCCACCAACCTCAATTCTTTTGGTTTTGTTACCTCACCGACGAGATTTGTCTATTCACTTTTTCAGTTTTGGTCTTCCTTTTTGTTTTTTTCTTTCTTCATTCACTATTATTATTTACATATAAAAATACTAGTTTTAAAAGTTCTATTTTCGGCCTTATTAAACATAAGAAGAAAAAAAAAAAAATACTTATCAATTGAAAATTTTGATTAAATAAAAGAAAAATTCCACATATGTCATATAGATTTTTTTTCTTTCCAAAGAGTTATATTTCTACAAATTACAAAATGAATTGTATATAACAAAACTCGAACAATCAGACTTTCTGATTTTTGTAAACCGATTTCGTCAGTCGATATATATATATTTTTTGAGTTAATATTTGTTACAATTTAATAAACTATTTAATTTTTACATATGTTATGTAACATGATTTATGTAATTACAAAAATAAGCATATACAGTAAAACCTCTATAAATTAATAATGTTGGGACCATGAAAATCTATTAATTTATAGAGGTATTAATTTATCGATAATTATTAATTTATAGAGAGATTTTCCTAATTTGAAAGTTTTTTTCAGAAAAATATATAAAAATGAGATTTAATCATGATAATTAGTATTTTATATAATCAATTACAAAGAAAATAATAATTATTATGTCTTGAAAGAGAATGCTAACAATTTTTGATATAGTAAAATATTAGAAATAAACTCTAACAAAAACTAATGTGTCTATATATACATATATTTTGAAAATTTTACCTAATTATTAATTTATAATATTATTGGGACCATATATTTACAAACGATTTTCAAAAAAATTATTATAATTTATCGAAATATGTCTAAAATTATACTGGTTCTAACTTAGTACCGGAGAAATTTATTAATTTATAGAGATTATTAATTTATCGAGTACTAATTTATAGATGTTTTACTGTAGATAGTTTCATGCTTCCGCGTCTGTAATAAGTGTTGTCTCTTTCTTCTTCTTGTCACCTCTCTTCTCACTTCTGACGCCTACGCGGAAAAAGCAAACCACTTTCGATTTCTTTAATCTTCTTCTTCTTCTTCTTCTTTGTTTTTTTGGTTTCTTCTCAATCAAAAAGCCAAAAAAACCCCTAAATTAAGAAACTTTCTATATATAAAAACTTCATTAACACCAAACCAACTCTCGAATCATCGTAATTTTTGACTAATTCTTCCCCATCAGTTCCAGTGTCAACTTCAGTTCTTCCATTTTTCTTCATCTCTCTCTCTCTCTCTCTTTCATATCGCTCTCTTCAAATTCCCTTCTTTCCCGTGCAGTTTTGTGTTTTTTTTAATTCCTTTCCTTTTTGTGTAGAGTTGACGAATTCTGATTTTGGATTGTCGTCTTCTTTCTTTTTATTCTGTCTTCTCTCTTTTATGTTCTCCAGATAAAAAAAAGGCATCTTTGTTTCTTATCTGATTGTATTTGTATAGTTCTCTCTATTCTATAACCAATACAGAAATGATTAACCAATCAGAAAGGGCCCAGCTTTGTTGACATATCCATCTCCTTTCTCTCTAAGCTTAGCTAGGGTTTTGTTTTTTTGTTGAAAAGTCTCGACTTTTTTTGGTTTTGTGGGGAAGAAGAAAATGGGATCTGCAAGTGGGTTTTACTCAAACGAAGAGTTCGAATTGGATCCTAAATGGCTTGTTGATCCTCGTCATCTCTTTGTTGGTCCTAAGATCGGTGAAGGTGCTCATGCCAAAGTTTATGAGGGAAAGTAAGCTTTGACTTCACAAACCAAATTCTCTCTTTTTAATCCGTTAACTCATTGCTTGATACAGACAACTTTGTTTCGAGTTTTCAACTGTTTCTGAAGATTAGTGTTATGAATAAGGAAAAAGTTTGAATCTTTGCGTATGTGAAGCTCAAGAGAACCTTTTTATTGGATGTTCTTTCTTTACTGCATATCTGTTTTGAAGATCAGAGAACTATTTGTGTGTGTTAATCATGAATCAGTATAATGTTACAATCTAGCTCTTGTAGATTCTCTGTTTCTGGAGATGTTTGATGATTGAGAAGTGTTTGATGGTTTGGAAATGTGTTTACTTTGTTTTAGGTATAGAAACCAAACAGTGGCGATTAAGATTATTAAAAGAGGAGAATCACCTGAAGAAATTGCTAAAAGAGATAACCGGTTTGCGAGAGAGATTGCTATGTTGTCTAAAGTCCAGCACAAGAATTTGGTCAAGGTTTGGCCTTTTTTCGTTTTTTTAATTCCCCAACCATGTTCATTTGGCTAACCAGGTTTTGCCGTTTTGGGTTGTAATCATAAACGTTTGAGAAATGGATTTTGAATAGTTCATTGGAGCGTGCAAAGAGCCTATGATGGTTATAGTTACCGAGCTTCTACTTGGCGGTACATTGCGTAAATATCTAGTGAGCTTGCGGCCAAAGCTTTTAGACATTCGTTTGGCTGTAGGTTTTGCTCTTGACATTGCTCGCGCAATGGAATGTTTACATTCCCATGGAATCATTCACCGCGATCTTAAACCAGGTAAATGGAAAGAATTTTAAAAGGTTGGAAAATAAAAACCGCGACTTCGAAGTTTATATGGAACATTTATGAGTTCTTATTGCATTTGCAGAGAATTTGATCTTATCAGAAGATCATAAGACTGTGAAACTCGCTGATTTTGGTTTAGCTAGAGAAGAATCATTAACCGAGATGATGACCGCAGAGACTGGTACATACCGATGGATGGCCCCTGAGGTAACTATTTTTACTACTAACCCCGGAATTTTTCTTCTTTTGGCGATTGTCTTATCGGAAATCTTGTAAATGAATGAAACAGCTTTACAGTACGGTTACGTTAAGGCAAGGAGAGAAGAAACACTATAATCATAAAGTAGATGCTTACAGCTTCGCCATTGTATTGTGGGAACTTATTCTCAACAAGTTACCATTTGAAGGCATGTCCAATCTACAAGCAGCTTATGCTGCTGCATTCAAGGTAATAACACACACCTCTCAATCCATATAAACCAGTTCTGAAGCAGAACCAGAACTGATGTAACTGTTCTTAGTTTGGTTTGGTTTTGGTTGACCACATAAAATTGGTTTTGGTTTCAGTTTTTGGAGTTTGAAACCATAAAACCAATCGGATTTTGGTTTGTTTGTCACTCCTAAAATTAAGGAAATATATTTATTTGAAAAATGGAACTTTGGGAAACTCATCTATACGTAGCTAAGTTCTACTCTAGTCTCTATTTGCCATAAATGGAAAGCTACAAAAGCACAAACTGAAACCAGATTGAAACTTATATTGAACTCCTTGTATCTCTCTGCTTCATTTGGTCTTTACTTAGTTGAATGATCCTTAGATTTGTTGCAAAGTTGGTAGTGATGATGATTGCTGAGTTGTAGGTATTTAACCCGGCATTGTGACTAATTCTTGTTTGTTTTTTCGTATAGAACTTGAGGCCGAGTGCAGAGGATTTACCAGGGGATTTAGAGATGATTGTCACTTCATGCTGGAAAGAAGATCCTAACGAACGGCCGAATTTCACGGAAATAATTCAAATGCTCCTCCGTTACCTCACCACTGTTTCGGCGCCACAGATCATACCTCCACCGAATCGACGAGTTTTCTCATCAGAAAACATAGTCTTATCACCAGAATCCCCCGGAACTTGTTCTCTAATGTCTGTCAGAGACGGAGATGCCTCTCGTCAAACCGTTAACACCGCTGATTCGTCATCAGAGAAAGAAACTAAAGGAAGCTTCTTCTTCTGCTGCTCATAGATGATCAATTTTATATAAATATTGGTTGTAATCTGTAAAGTAAAGGAGAGGAAAGTGTTTATGAAACAGTATAATGTATTAAAGCCTTAGAATTTAGATTCACAGTAACATGAAAATTTATCGTCCAGTGTATAAAAGATATTGAGCCTGAAACTTCTATATTTTGACGTTTTTGGTGTTTTTCAGAGCCACAGGGGTTACAAAAGTTTAATAAATGGCAAAAAGTTCAATAGCTAAAAAAATACGCCGCTGCCGGGGATCGAACCCGGGTCACCCGCGTGACAGGCGGGAATACTTACCACTATACTACAACGACTTTGTTGTTCAATCCAGTGACATACATATAAATATGTTATGTTATGTCGGGTCGTCTCTTCTAAAACCCTCAAACCCTTGCGAGAGGACCTTAACTGATTCTTTCTCTCTTGTTCGAAATTTTTTGCCATTTCGTTTTGCAGAAGCCAAATGTTCGTCTCGAGGAGTCTCTCGAGACACTGCTCGAGAACTTGTAAATGGACTTTATCTTCTCTACTTCAATCCGATTCATGTATTAGGTAAGTTCAAGATTCTAACTCCACCTTTGATCCTCTCTTCTCTCTGATTATTGAGATGTACTCAATACCCATCTCTCGGATTTGTCTAAAACATCGAAATTTAATAGCTTTGTAATCCGATTTTATGATTTTGATCGTGAAGGAATCTGGTTTTGTCATCGAGTCCTGTTACGAGCATTGGTAGCTCAAGTGAAGGTAATTCTAATTCGTTTCAGCCGTTGATGAATCAAGTGTTCAAGGGATGGTCTCGAGGTATGTCAACATCTAGAGGGAGGAGTATGAGGAGTAAAGTTGAGAGTAGAATGCGGAAAGAGTCTGGTAAGACGTTAAGAGAGATTAGGAGAGCTAAGAAGTTGAAGAAGAAACTTATGACTGATGAAGAACGCCTCATCTATAACCTCAAAAGGGTAATTTTGATTGAGACTGATCCATGAATTTGTCTTCTGTGTTGTCCTTTCATTCATATATTGTTAAAGTTTGAGACTTTATGTGATATTGCTTATTGTGGCAACTGACAACTTGAGATTGTGTTAGGATTAAGCATGGTTTGTGTACGAAAGTTTTAAGTTTTGGTGTTGTTTCAGAGTGAAATGTATCATAGAGTTGAATTTTCTGATGTCTCTCTTTTCTGTTTTTCTTTCTTTTGATGCAGGCGAAGAAGAAAGTTGCGCTTTTGTTGCAAAAGCTTAAGAAGTATGATCTTCCTGAGTTACCGTCTCCTGTGCATGATCCTGAGCTTTTCACATCCGAGCAGATCCAAGCATTCAAGAAAATCGGTTTCAAGAATAAAAACTATGTTCCTGTTGGTGTTCGTGGAGTCTTCGGAGGAGTGGTTCAAAATATGCATATGCACTGGAAGTTTCATGAGACCGTGCAAGTTTGTTGTGATAACTTCCCTAAGGAAAAGATTAAAGAGATGGCAAGCATGATAGCAAGACTGAGCGGTGGGGTAGTCATTAACATACATAATGTAAAAACTATTATTATGTTCCGTGGTAGAAACTACCGGCAGCCCAAGAACTTAATCCCTGTTAACACCCTCACAAAACGGAAGGTAAGCAGTATAAATTTTTGAATTTAAAGTTTCAGATTCTTGGTTCGTCCTTAAAATTGAGGATTATGTGGTTAAAGAATGATTACTTTAGTTGATATCTGTCTTAAGAATGGGGCTTTGGTTGATCTAGACTATCTGCTTTAGGAATCTTTAGGTTTCTTAACTACATCATCAAAACCCAAATCTTCGGGTCTGACAATCTTTAGGTTTAGGATTTATGAATTATGGAAGTGCGGCTTGCTTTAACAAGTGTTTTGTAGTGGTATGGTATGAACAAGTATTTATGTTTTGCAGGCTTTATTCAAAGCGAGATTCGAGCAAGCACTTGAATCTCAGAAGCTGAACATAAAGAAAACAGAACAGCAGCTACGGAGAATGGGTGTTAACCCCGAAGATCCGGTTGCCATGGCTAGCATTCACAGAGTGGCCTCAACATTCTTCAATGCAATCGACAAAAAGGAAGGAAGCCCGTATGTATTCCATGGAGATAAACAATCAGAACGAGGCACTAGTGTTGAAAATACAGAAGAATCAGAACCGGGCGATGAAGATAGTGACCAGGAGGAGCTGGACAGATTCATAGCTGAGATTGAAGAAGCAGCAGACAAGGAGTGGGAGGAAGAGGAAGCTGCAGAACAAGAAGAATCTGGGCGGATCAGGTATTGGAACCGAGAAGAGTTTGCAGGAAGAAGCAGAACACCTGAATTGCGTAGTTATGGAGATTCAAGTCATGGCTTTAGAAGAAATGAAAGGGATACACGTAGCCAGAGGAGACCCAACGATAGTGATGAAGATGATGACGGTGAATTTGATTCTGAGGATGATGAGATTCCAAACAGATTTGATAGATCACGGTCATCAAATACAGACACAAGAAGGCCGAGAGAGGATTTTAAGAGAAGAAGCCCCGATCCTCGACCTCTACCTCGACCTCAAGTGAGGAGTGATGACGATGATGTTTTGAGTGATCTTGATAACACAATGTGGGATTCAGATGATGATGAAGAAGATGCACCACCGGCTAATTACGTTTCAAGCAGTGATGATGACGAGGGTGAAAACAGAACAATATCAGCATCTAAACAACCGAGATTCAAGAATAATAGTTCAAGAGATGGTGTCAACAAGAGTGGAAAACAGAGGGATGAGGATTGGGATAGTGATTAGAAATGAAGACTACAAGATCACAGAGTTTTGATATTGTTATGTCTTCATTGGTGCCTAATTATCATATGAGAAATGAAGATGTTAAACTCTGGTCTGAATATTGAAGGCTGATCTATCTATTGTTAAGTTCAGTTTCTGATAATTCAGTGGAAGATAATGAACATGCTCTTCACATTGTGACCTGTGCAAACTATGTTCTTCACATTTGTAATTCAGCTTTTGGTATTACAGTGGCAAATTAAACTGATTTGTATGAAAAGATTCAGTAAATTTCAGCCATTTTGTGGTGTATTGGACTAATTTTCCCAAAACGCTTTACGAAATTGTAAACGTCCACTTATGAGATTGGCTTTATGACAGACTATACGTATTCAACATGGTAACCTCCTCTTATGGGTTAATAGAGCATCTGTGACCTGTGCAAAGCAGTTTCATGAATAACACAGACACATGGCAGATTAGTGCAAGATTCCTTCTGAAGTATCACATTTAAAAATTTAACTTGAAAGCAAAGGTTTCTGCATCCCCCTTTTGCATCTTGATTCATTACTAAGTTGACATTCAAAAGCAATGCATCAGCGTCTTCTCAGCATTGCTTGACCCAAAAAATACCCTAAAAGAAATAAATAAGCTCCAGACCAATCCAAAAAATCTGACAAGAACAATACAACACAGCTAAAACTTGAAAAGAACATAATTTTTTGCAACCAAGAAGCAGAGTCAAAATTGATTAGAGAATCAGAGCAAAGAAGGCTTTAAATAAGAGGGACACTGTTGTATAAGAATGATATAACCAGAACTAAACTCAAAACAATGAAGAAAATGTTATATAAACAAAATGGATCCTGAAACTGCTATACTACTAAATCAATCAGCCTTCGGCAGCAACATATTTTCCCATTGTTGAAAAAACCTGGGACGTGTTGTGCAGCTCTAACTCAAAGTAAGCTCCTTTTTCACACAAACCCTCCTGTATCAAAAGAAACTGATGGAAACCCACCAAACTGAATCCAGCATTCAGGTTATATATGCGCCTCGACAAAGTATCAAATTATGGCATTACTTTCTTCATTTCTTCTCTCCCAGGCAAAAAGATTGCACCTTTCATCTCAAGAATGATGCTAAGGACCTGAAGTTTAAGACTATACAAGAACACCTTCAATGTGTTCATCACATAAACCCTGTCTGTTTTTCTCTCATGCAGTTACCAGGCAACAAGTATTTGTATTGCTCAGCATTATCCAGCAGGTATGAAGGAAGATGGACAGCTGAATAAGAGCGAGGTACAGGTCCCATTTTGCCTATAATCTCCTTAAATGTGTATTCCTCTGGTAACATATCAAACAAATCAGTTCCTTTGCAAATAACGTCTTGAATCCTCCTCGGATTCAAGTAATGAGAGAATCTGACACGGTCCGAGTGACTGTATGCTTTCATTTTGAAGATAAACTCGCTTACATAACGGAAACAGAAACTACAGTGCCAACCCGAATCGGCTAACATAACATTGCTCTGACGGAAATGAGCGTACCGAGTTTTCCCTGGACTGTAACGGTGTATAGACGCTCTCCAGCTTTTGCTATCAACATAGTATTCAAAAGAATACAAGTAATTCTTCAGCTGAAGATGAAGAACCGGAGGAATATCGTCACACCATCTCAAAAGATTAACAGTGTGAGCACTAGGAATCTCATCAACATCAGACATAATCAACAGATCATCCTCTTCAATGCCAGCTATTCTAAGCAACTGATCCAACGCAACACGCTGATACGCTTCTTCAACAAACGGATTCTCGCCTTTCCTAAACCGTCCACCAATCGTCCCATAAGTCAGCCGTGACTCCACAAACTTAAACTGATCCTTATTGCTCTTAAAAACCAACGGTTTAGGCAAACCCGTAAACGTGGAATTCGATTCCAGCAGCACAAACTGAGTCACATAAGGATAAAGCTCATTCCACCTAACAGTTAAAAGATCCTTCTCATTACTAAACAAAACCGCATCAAAAACACGCCTAGGAGATTCTCTGATTCCCCAACCATGAAGACTACAGAGAGCTTCCATAGTAACATTCTCATTGTAGTAATGAGGAATGGTCTCAAACGGCTTCGGAGGTGATTCCCAAAGCGGTCTGAAGAAATAAGTGAACTTTTGGCCGTGTAAATAGATTGCCAAGATACCAAACGGCATCAACACAAACAGCAACAAGTATGTTCTTAAATCAAAACCTCTAAGAACACATTTAAGCCTTGAGATTGTCTTCGCTGCTTTTGATCCCTGCAAATTCACAAAAAGATGAAACCAAATAAACAATAAACCTCAACAAAACACAAATCAAAACATCAAAAAATTGTTACTTTATATATATATATAATAAGTGTAGAAAACATTCGAAGATCTTTTCAAGCAACAGAGAACAATCTGACCAATAAAAAAATGAATTTTTATTACATACCCAAAAATAAAAAACAGAGCTTTCATAATTTATCATCACGGATTCGATTGCAAAGTTTCAATTTTTTTTGGAGTAAAGTAAAGAATTTTAAACCTAATAAGAAACAAACCTGTCCACAAACATGTTCGCAAAGATCATCAGTCTTCTTCGAATTGTAGTATCCATCAGACATGATTTTTTTCTTCTTCTTCACAGGATTCGTCTAATGCAAACCGTGTAATACCCAAAATTCAAAATACCCAGAAAAAAAAATTGTAAATTGAAAGGAAACAAAAAAAACCCAGAAACGGAGATATAGGAAATTTTAAAACTCCTCACAAAATTTCGTTTTTTTATTTCCCAATTTCTATCGATGAACGAAGGAAAAAAAAATGAATTTGAAAGGCTTAAAGAGTTAATGGGAATCTCGTAATCCAAAGAGACAAAAGGCGAAAAATAATCACTAGATTTCGTTTTTAATGTTCTCCTCCACAGAATAAACCTAAAAAGAATTTTAAAAAATCACACTTCTGAGTTTTTTTTTTCTCTTTAATAAGAAAAGGTTGCGACTTTACGAAGAAGAAAGAAACTTTTCAGTTTTTTTTTTTAGAAAACGCGTTTAAACCGTTGGATGAAGTTAATGAGATCCTACGGTTTAGTATTGACGCGTGGCGTGTGTGTTTTTTACAAACGTGACTCGACGTTTCTTTTTTGTGTTGTGTCTGATGATTATGTGAATTTTTAACAGCCAACGCATCGTGAGTGACAAAACGAGCCGTGTTTAGTGTTTACCATCTTACCTCAGAAACGAACGTCACAGTTTTGTTGTTGTTGTTGACCAGACAAAGCCGCAGCTTTGGTCATCATCTTCACAGTTATTTTATTAGCGATAGTTTGATAGCAATGGTTAACCAACGGCATGTTTTTGTGTTGTTCGACTTTGTTTCTTTTTGTAGTAAAATTCAATCTTCGTATAACCAAAACTTAGACATCATGAAGTAGATTATATTGGTAACGATCGTAACGGAAACTCGGATTACCTAAATTGTGATACTTATCAAGTCTTTGGTATGGTGGTTGAAGGTTTGATTTAGGATTTAAATGATTACGGCGGACCGGCGGTTATGGTTAAGAAATCTTATAACGATTTAATTAGTGTTCGCGTTACATCATTAGTATCATAACAGAAACTCGGATTACCTAAATTGTGATCCTTATCAAGTTTTTGGTAGGGTGGTTGATGCGTCCCCGGACATCGAGTCACCAAGGCCGCCGTCCGTCCGTCCGAGAGCATCATCCGGCCGGCCGCGTCTATCAACCGTTCGGGCAAAGTCTTCAACAAGAGATCATTCCGACGACAACGATTCAGCCTCAACACTTCAAGACAACTTCAAGGATCATCAAGAGGAGCAAGGCGAGGTCATCTCATGATCTTCTTCAACGTTCAACCTTTCGACAAGCCGAGCTTCAACCATTCTCACCGAAGGTTCGTGGAACGCATCACCACCGAGGAACCTTCGATCAAGACAAGCTTTGGGAAGCTTAGCTCGAGTGCCTTCACCTCCACGTCCGAGTGAAGGCATCCCTAAGACGTTAGGTGAGCTGTACTCTTTTTCCCAACTTCGGGTTTGTCCCAAAGGGTTTACCGAAGGGGTTTTAACGAGGCAGCAAGTCTAATGCATCTCCACTTCGATCCCACTCGACTCACGACTTGGAAACGTTAGTAGACAAGCTCCGGAGCCGAGGAAGTGAAGATCCTATCTCCAAGAAGGCATCCATCTTCAATAAAGCCTTCTCCATCGATCCTTATCGATCCGTTTCTATTTTCTCGAAGAATTCTCGGTCGTTTCACTTTTTACCGAGAATTTCTCGATCCTTTTACTTTTGACCGAGAGAGCCGTTAGAAAACGCGCTTTCTCGCTTTTCCTTTGTGTGGAGCTTAAAGACCCACGTGTCTAGGGCAACTTTAAGCCCACTTTCTCGATCACTTGTCTATTTAAGGGCAAGTCTCTCGATTGTAAAGGACACGCTTGAATGAACTACTGAAAATGTTTCCTTTTCTCGCGTCTCTCTTCGTTTTCTCGAGCCGGAAAGGCTAGAGATCGAAAACCCTTGAAGATTCTCGAACCGGGTTTCGTTAATCTTCAAGCCGACCGTATCGTGAGTTCGTTCCATAGCTCACGTGTCGTCATTCGATCCACACACACCCAGCCCGAGTATTCCTTCATTTGTACGAAGGGTATTCTCCACCCCCAAACCTTCCATCGAAGGCTCCGACGGTTTGTCGAGCCCAGTCAACGACCACCGGACGTGCATCGATCATATCCATCGCACCCGGGGGTTCATCAGTGGTTGAAGCTTTTATTTAGGGTTTAAATGGTTATAGTTGAGAAATTTCTTAGCGGCTTAGTTCGTTTTATTTTTAGGGCAGACAATAAATCGCCTTGCGAACCAACTTTATTTGTATGTAACTGTATTAGTACGGATCATATCTAATGAATGGTATATAAAAAGCGGTATAATCCATGTACGGATTTATCTACCCCAACTTCTGCAAACCATATGAATCCTTTAGTCCATGATATAATGAACAGTTTTGTTACACATAATAGTAATTAAATCGACTTGACTCGATTACCTAATAAAATCAAACATTAATTATGTGAAGCAACGTATGGTTAATTATAATTTAGATTTATTTTAATGTCGATCTAAATCCGTCCCCATATCATTTGTTTAGTTTTGCTTTTTTTTCTTTTATAACCTGATTTTTTTTTTTTTTGGTGGGAATAACCTGAAATATTCATCATATCTAAACTTGTTTATCATCTTTAAACATATCAACATTAATATTTAGAATTGATTAAAATCTCGTTATAGTTAGTTAAACATTTCTCACACCAAAAAAAAAAAAATCACACCAAAAAAAAAAGTTTAGTTAAACATTTCAACTAAAGAACCATAGAAATTTCAACATTTTATATCGACGGCTCGTTCAAGACAAAACCGAGCTTGTTGTCATCATTATGTAGACAAGGACTCGGATATGCAAAATCCACCAAACTGAACATCACACACATTTGTGTGGTACAAGTTCTTAACTTAAAAAAAGTTGAATATGTACAAAAAGACATGTGCAATCTTGTCGTCGTCGCTTATGGCCTAACTTGATGAAAAGTAAAAAGCATATAGAATCAATCTAATATAATCCAGTTACATGTATACAGTACGCACAACACATGTTGATGAATGATGATGTAACTTCACATATTGTTTAAAGTGTATCTTCTTAATAATTATAATAAAGAGAGACTCCAAGCAAGACGTGCAACGAACATGCCTCTTACCACTCATATTGGATTTTATTCGTGTATTCCCGTTTTCAAAGCATATTCGTGTATTCCCGTCGCAATACTATTAGTTGTGATTGTCTTTGTAATTAGGCTTGGCCTAATTAAGAAGAGTTCCAACCTAATAATCAACTTTCACTGATGGTCATGTTACTAATGTATGAAAAATTGCAATGGTTTTGTATCAAGCTAGATGACTTGAAGCAAGTTACATCCTCTATTAGTTTTTCTTGCTTGTATTACAGAAGTAACTAAGGGAATATATAATTTAACTCCAACTTTTATTGATTGGTTCAATTCAAATCTTGTTTTCTGACCATTGAATTTTGTTGACCCATGCTACTTGAGTGACGCATTTTTAAAAAAATATTTTGTCAACTCTATAGGAGGTTGAGGGTATTCACTACTATTCATTAGTTATTTGCCAAAAGTTGGAGTTGAAAGTTGAAACAATAGAATGGCCAAAATTCCTCAATCCGAACCAAAACTCTCGAACCGAAACTAATAATAAATAAACCAAATTAACACAAATTTATATATCAAAATTTTTAAGGGGATCGAACCGAATAGTAGAACCGAAACTAAACTAAGCAAGATATATTTTAAAACAGTTATAAATGTATTTAAATAATTTAAAAGTATACTGTTTTAATTAAAAAGACAGTTGATTTTTATAATTTATTTTTCAAAAACCGAACAAAATCAATAATGTGATACCAAATGAGATTTTACTGTACTTTCAGGAACCTAAAAAAAACCAAAACCAAAATGAATTACTTTCCAAATCTTAAAAACTTAAAATCTTAAAATCTTTTGTTTTAAAATCTTAAAATCCCAAAATCGCGTGCTCACCCAAAGACAAATCATCCACCAAAAAAACCTCCACACAGTTTTGTCTTGAACTGGTCAGGCTTAAAGCCCACTGGACCTAAATGGGCCTATATTTTAGCATCCCACAATCTCAATAAATCTCACAGGAGCTAATATCAGGTGCGGGCGTGAGTACAATGCATCATCGATCTTCCTCTTCCGCCATTTAAAGATAAAACAACAATTTCATCGTGACGATCGTACGGTTTTATCAGCTCTTCTGACTTTGCTTGAACAGATCGGTCAGGTGAAAAAGAGAGATAGAGACTCTGTGAAGAAGCGATCTATCACCGTTCATTGGCTGAAGGATTCATCTTCCTTGTTTGGATCTTGTTCGTATTACATAGCCTCTGTAAGGTGTTCGATTTTTGCAAGTTTCAGTTTTGTGATAGTTTTCAGAGTTCTAGGGTTTTGTAGTCTGATTTCTCCGTTTCTGTGTTAGTTTTTGCATCGTTGCTGATCTAATTTTGATGTAAATTTCTCGATTTCTGTTGTTTCAGGTGATTTTATTCGCTATAACGAGATATGGATTTGGCATCCCGTTACAAGGTAAATATTATCTTTGATTGCGAGTTTAATTCAGCTGTTTTGTATCGAATGCATGCTTTCTTCTGGCTTCTCTAATTGCTCTAGTTGTTTAGATGAGCCTGTTCGCATTGGCTCTGTGTTGATATCGATATGATTTCTAAAAGTTTCTCAAGGGTGTAGAGAGAGTGACTTATAGTGTACTAATTATGAAGGTGGCAGAGAGCTTGAGACTATATTTGTATTTTATAATGTTGTGATGCTATTTTTAACAGCAGCATTACCAAAATTTTCCGGTGCTTATGCTTGTTCTTGACTTGTTTTACGAATTTGTTCAGGGGGTTGTTGGAATGGTTTTCGGCGACAATCAATCTTCAAATGAAGACAGGTACAGGTTTTTTTTTATGTTTAATGTACTACGAGTGGAGAGATATAGCAAGTTCCTTTATTTATTATGGCCTGTAAGTATTCGAGAAATTAATCAATGAGGATTGGATTTTTGTTTGGTGTATATACGTAGTTACATTCAACGCCTGCTGGATCGTATAAGTAATGGTACCTTGCCTGACGATAGGAGAAATGCTATAGTAGAACTTCAGTCTGTTGTAGCAGAAAGTAATGCTGCTCAATTAGCTTTTGGAGCAGCTGGTAAATGTCTTTCTTTTTCTCTGTCGTGCTTCTGATTGTTCTTGAGATTCAAATTCAAAGTTGAAATTTACATTCTGTCATTTCAGGATTCCCTGTGATAGTGGGCATCCTAAAGG